CGCTCAGCTGCTTGCAGCTGACGCGACTGATAACAGATGACGCGCTCCGCGCCATCTGCATCGAACTGCATTAACGCACAGCCGATTGCGAAATCGCTGGCGTCACAGACCACATGAAATGGTCTGTCCTGATCTGCAATCGCCAAGATCGGCGATTGCATCAAGCTCCGCTTGATACCTTCAAAGGAACGCTGGCACTCAGCGTTCCATGACCACTTGACATTTTTCTTGAGCAAGCAAGAAAGATGAACAGTCATCTCGGCGTAGTTGCGCGAGTACTTGTGCAAGTACGCCGCAAGACCAAGGAACTTCCTTAGTCCCTTGACATCGACTGGCACTGGCCAGTCGGTGATCGCCTTGATCTTTTCGGGATCAGGGCGTACGCCGTGTTTACCCACGATGCACCCAAGAAGTGGTATTTCGCTAGCCGCGAATATACACTTCTTGAGGTTGGCGTACAACTTATGCTTGCGCATAAGTTGAAGAACCTGACGAACGTGAGTTCTGTGAACTTCAACGTCCGTCTTTCCGTCCATAGCCCGGCTATGGACGAACACATCGTCGAAGTAACTCGGTGCGAAGTCTCGCACCGGTCTCAACAGATTTGTTACACATCTGTTGAATGTTGCAGGGGCATTACTCAGCCCCTGTGGCATCACTAGCCACTCCCACAGCATCCCGCTGGGGGTACTCACTGCCGTGAACGGGACGTCCCGTTCACGCATCAGGATCTGATAGAATCCATCCATCAGATCCATGGACGAAAAGATGGTACTCTTTGACATACCATCTATGATTACGTCCTTCCTCGGTATCGGCGTCTGAGCCGGTACCGTTGCAGCATTCAACTTGTTGAATGCGTGCACTATCCGCCACCCTCCTGTGGCCTTTCGCACACAGAAGGTCGGAGAGCTGTGAGGGGATGTTGATTCCCTCACATGGCCCGCTGCTAAGCGATCGGCAAAGAACTTGTCGATCGCTATCACTTGTTCACGAGGCAGTGGCCACTGCTTCATGACACAGTATTTCGAGCCCGGTTTGAGCTCGATCTCGTGTCGAGTGCCTTTGTCCTTAGGCAACTCGCAAGGTACGGATTCAGGGAACACATCCCTGAATTCGATCAAATCCTTATACAAAGGATTTGCCTGAAGTGACTCCCAGGATTGGGACGCGTATCGCTCAATCCGAGTCTTCTCATCGAGGACACTTTCGTCCATCGATGAGCTGCTGAGAACCCGTTCGTTCTCAGCAAATACTGTTGCCGACCGAATGTCGGTCACATACTCGTCCTCTGTGACGAGTATGCAGATCTGCTTGACTTTGCCACTACGCAGATCACGCAAGAACCGTTTCGGTTCTAGCGTTGGCAACTGAGTTATCTCCGAAGTCAACTTCGGAGGCACAATCAGATCAAGCGTATAAGCGCCTACGCTTGATCCGTCATTAACCAAGACGTTCAACGTCTCGGTTTCTTCCTGGGAACTTGCTTCCACAGGTTGCTGAGGGCCTAATCCCTCAGCAAGCGACTCTTGAGGAATTCCTTCCTCAAGTACGTGGGGACTTATTCCCTCGACGTCTTCCGACTGTGGCTGTGCAACCACAGTCAGGAACCGATCCTCTACGGTCGACTCTCCAGTCGACCTAGGATTTTCATGTTGCCCCTTGGGGGCAACAGACTTCTTTCTTCTAAGATGCTGCCCGCTAGGCATGCATCCATGTCCCGGTCCACTCGACTTATTCGAGTGGTGGACCTTCGGCGCAGCCTGTACTTCTGTACAGCCGCCGGGAGCTTGCTCCACAGTGTAGTGATCAACTACACTGTGATCTTGTGCAGTCGTGCTAACGACCGTACCGCAAGTGAGGCCATCGCACTCACTCGCAGAACATCCACACGCTTGTGGACGCTCCAAGATGTTCATCAGATGGCCATCTGATGAACAAGCAGCAGGCATCTTCACGGATCGATGCTGCCAGCTCACTCTTGGCTCGTACTTTCTGAGCCAAGGTAATCCCAGGATGACATCAAATTTGTCATCCAGATCTAGTACGATGAAGTCATCATCGTACTGTTCGCCCTCTAACGTGTAGTGGATTCCTACTACACGTTTCTCAACGGTTATCGATGCGCCTGTTGCAAGGCGCACCGTCATCCTTGTGAGGGGGAATGTCGCGCTCAACGAACTTGAGCCTACGACCCTCTAGTGACTGGCGACGAACAAAATTGTTCGACGCCCCACAGTCTACTAGGGCACGAAGCGACAAATCATTTGTCGCTTCCAACTTCAAGGTGATGAGCGAAACGTCATCACCAGGTGCAGAGACACACAATGATTGTGTATCTGGAGCAACTTTCGTCAAGAGATTTGCAAATTCTCTTGAGGTTGCTGGATCAGTAGGGCGCTCCGCCCCTACTGACCCCGACCATTTTTTGATGGTCCGTCTCGCTGTTGCGGCTTCGCAACAGCGCTGGACCCACGCCCATTGCCCTTTCTGGCAAAAGGTCGTCCATTTCGCTCAGTACTGTTTGGTACTGGGCGTGGAGCACTACACTCGTATGCGTAGTGCCCTAACTTCTGACAGCGATTGCACCTCTGCAATCGCTTGTTGTTTGTAGAGCGAGGTCTCTCGCTCTCAACATAGCAGAGGTCCATTGGTTCTGGACCTCCGATCTCTTGTCGTCTCGGTGGACGGTAAGAGTTTGAGCTAGCATGAGCCTGTCTCATGCTAAAGTCTTCCTGTTCCGCGGCTGATATCGCTTCTTCAAGCGTATTCAGCTCAAGGCGGAACAGGTGGCTCCTGACGGGCCCTTCTGCGAGCCCTTGCATGAACACCGTAATCAACGTGTGTTCATGTACTGGGTTGGCAGTTATACTACTCGCAAGGAGTCGTATATGTTGTGCGTAAGCGTGCACATCACGCTTACCCTGCTTGAGTTTCAGGAGCTCTGAGCGAGCCCTGAACTCAGCACGTGGCGGCTCAAACGTTTGTCTGAGCCGGGACTTGAAGTCATCTAGCGACCTAAACACATTTGGGTCGCTACTCTCGAGTCCCAGGGACCAAGTTTTGGCACGCCCTGCCAAGTGGGTCTGAGCAAATGTGAGTTTCATTTGCTCATCTTCGACGCGACGAGCCCTTAGGGCTCTGTCGAGTTCGACAAACCATAGTAACAGGGAGTCCTCCGGGACTCCACTGTACTTGGAGATGTCGACTTTCATGACTTCGGGACGACGCGCATGCGCCGTCCCGCCCACAGCAGCATGGAATTGCTGCTGTCTCAACAGCTCCGTCTGTTGAGCACCGAGTTCTCTCAACTGCTCGGCCTGTTGAGAGCCTTGCTGGTGAAGCAAGGCTACTTTCTCCCTCTCGAGAGCAAGTTCATTCTGAATGAACTTGGCGATAGCGGCATGTTGTTGGTCTCTGTCTAGAGACTCCAACATGGTGCTGACGACGAGTTCGCCTACGGTAGAACTCATTCGTTCTACCGCACCCCATTCGATGTCACTCAAATGGGTAAACCCTTCACGCGTGGCGTGAAAGGTGTCTTCTTCATCCAACATGTTCATGTTGGATGATGTGGTCCTTGGAAGGACTACAAAGTGCTACCAGGTGTAACGGGGCACACCCTTGCGTAACTTAACGCAAGGGATTTGGGTGCCCCGACAGACGTACACGTGGCAAGCGAGGAAGCGTAGGTAGGGTAAAAGTAGAACTGTTATATTAATAAATTAAGTCTTTAAACTACTGTCTCTTCGTTTGACTTAATTCAATTATACTAATATAACTGCATGTATGGTGACGTCTCGTCACCACTCATTGCGCGCGTCTTGCGGCGATTGGTGGGTTGATATCATCACGATATCAACCAATGAACAGACCCTTTGGTCGACCCTTTAATATCACCACTTTGGTGATATTGTTTTAAAGAATATCCATCTTTATATTCTTTATTGTCACTTTCCTTAAAGTGACAATTTCATGTAACGGGCTGCCCCGTTACACTTAAGCTTTAAGATTGTGGACTCGTAGAGTCGTGTTCTCTTGAAGAACTAAATTGCTCGTTGACCAGAAAGCGTTCCTCTGGCAAAGAGCTGTAGTAGCTCGATTATACTTACGCTGAAGAGGATGGTGGCTGGTCGTCGCAACATTAGCTGAATGACTGTGCCAGACCTACAAAAAAAGTCTACACGACGTCTTATTGTTCAGTGGCATGCTACTGCTCGTAGCCTTCGCTCTTACAGTTGTTCACCATCATCCACTCCCTACTTCGGCCCTTGCCACTTCAGGCAATCTTTAGCACCATCGTGCGGGATGCAACACCAACCAGCGCAGTGAATATTTTTAGCACCACTTGCTGCTGATTGAAGTCGCCGATCACATTGATCCTTGTGCCTCGATAGAGTCGTATCGAAAAGTTATGATAGCAACAGACGTGCGGCTGTACTACCCCTCGATCGATGCCGAGATCCGTACTATCAAGCCACTCTTGAAACACTATACGTTACAAAAGAGAACACGTTGAAGTTGTGGTATCTAGGAGTTAAACCTCAAATGTCTCTATTCTGGCCCGTAGCGCAGTATTCATTTACCGTCGGACGAAAACCGTCCACAATCGAGACCAGACACTCGACGCAACTTCGAATACAGCCGCCGCTACAAATAGAACGTTCGCCAATACCAACAGTACTAGAAAGAGTCTTTTTCCAGCCCCTCCCCCCGTTCAAAACAAAGCTCAACCTGCTTTTTATACATGAACACACGAGCCGACGCCGTGACGCAGGCGACGTCAGTCATCCATCTCCCGCCCCCGACTTCCGTCTGCTACTCCCGTTGCAACTTCAAGACCCGTCGCACTTCAATTTTCACGTCGGCATCCGCACGCGTCGCTTCGCCTCAAGATCGATCACTCGCCTCACCGCTCGCTCGACTTCCGCCCTCACTTTTGAATTTGCCGGCGACCGCACTCGTCGGCCCCACAGCTCTTTGGATCCCCTGAACGCGTCATGTCGGACCTGTCGGTCACCGCCTCGAACGTCCGCGTCCTGGGCCACGTCTCGGACCCCTTCCGACGCGTGTTGACGCCCGACGCCTTGCGGTTCCTCGCGTTCCTCCACACCCACTTTGAACCACGACGGCAGGCGCTACTGGCAGCGCGTGGCGCGCGGCAGAAGGCGCTGGACGCTGGCACGCTGCCGGACTTTCTGCCGGCGACGCGGTACATGCGCGACAGTGACTGGACGGTAGCGGCCATTCCAGCGGACTTGGCCGACCGTCGGGTCGAGATTACGGGCCCCGTGGACCGCAAGATGGTGATCAATGCCCTCAACTCGGGCGCCAAGTGCTTTATGGCCGACTTTGAAGACTCGACGGCGCCCACGTGGCGCAATGTGGTGGACGGACAGGTGAACCTGATGGATGCCGTGCGCCGGACGATTGCGTACACGCACCCGCAGACGCACAAGCAGTACGTGTTGAAGGAGCAGGTGGCGACGCTGCTCGTGCGGCCGCGCGGGTGGCACTTGGACGAGGCCCACGTGCTCGTGGACAACCAGGTCGTCTCGGGCGCGCTGTTTGACTTTGGACTGTACTTTTTCCACAATGCCCATGCGCTCGTGGCACGGGGCTCGGGGCCGTACTTTTACTTGCCGAAGCTCGAGCACCACTTGGAAGCCAAGCTCTGGAACGACGTCTTTGTCGCGGCACAGGGGTACTTGAGCATCCCACAGGGCTCGATCCGAGCCACGGTGCTGGTCGAGACGATCCTCGCGGTGTTCCAGATGGACGAGATGCTGTATGAACTGCGGGACCACTCTTCTGGTCTCAATTGTGGACGCTGGGACTATATCTTTTCGTACATTAAGAAGTTCCGCAACCACCCGCAGTTTGTCGTGCCCGACCGCGCGGCGGTCGGCATGACGACGCCATTTATGGCTGCGTACGTGAAACTGCTCGTTCGCACGTGCCATCGTCGGGGCGCCCACGCCATGGGCGGCATGGCGGCCCAGATTCCGGTCAAGGACGACCCGGAGCTGAATCGCAAGTTTATGGCGGCTGTCGTGGAAGACAAGTCGCGCGAAGTGGCGGCGGGGCACGACGGCACTTGGGTTGCCCACCCTGGCCTGGTCAAGATTGCAATGGACGCGTTCAGCAAGATGTCGGGTCCCAACCAGATTGCGTGGATTCCGGACGCTGGCAAGGATATCACTGCCGCACAGCTGATGGAGCCTCCAACTGGCGCAATTACCTACAACGGTCTGGTCGAGAACATTGACGTGTCGCTCGTGTACACAGAGGCATGGCTGCGCGGCAGCGGCTGTATCCCGCTCCACAATAAGATGGAGGACGCTGCGACAGCTGAGATCTCGCGCGCCCAAGTATGGCAGTGGATCCGTCATCGCAGCAAGACTGTTGAAGGCAAGACCGTGTCGAAAGCGTTGGTGCTGGAGATTCTACAAGAGTGCGTGAACAAGCGATCCCGCGATGCCGCTCCGGGGCACAAGTGGGCACTTGGCGGAGAGATTATGGGCAAAGTGCTGACAGGAGACGAGATGGTTGATTTTCTTACGCTGCCGTGCTACCCGCGCATTGTGCAGCTTGGCTCGAGTATCTGAAGCTAGCGTCCCATTGCTACAAATGGTCTATCGCGTCAAGAGCGACCTGACTGGTTGATCTGAGCGATGGGACTGTGGCGTGTGGGACGTTTGGCCACGACGAGATGGTGCACTGCACTGCACGGACATGACAGCGTTGTTCTTATCTTTTCTATGCATAATGCACCACGAGCCACAGCAAGTGGGTTTGTGGCAAGTCTGCGGTACACAGCTTGACCGTCAGGACGCCGTGACCGTATGCCACTTTGAGCAGCATCTAGTGCATACGATCTGCCACACAAGTGGAGCTACTTTGACACCGTTTGGAATCTAACAATGAGCTGCCGTGCCGCAATTCGGTCATTCGTTATCCATCCATATTCAAGCGCTTTCCACGCTCGTTCTCTCCGAACTTCGCTGTTGTTTTATCTGATGAACAGCTTCCTTTGCAATGCTTGCGCACCTTCGGTCAAGTATTCGCGAAAGATCAAGCACTTGGGAAAAAGACGTGATGATACATCAAGTCACGTCAATGCAAGCGCGTAGTTAGGTACGCATGGCTGCGCAGGTGTGGCATGCTTCAGATGCCCATTTGAGGTGCTGGCTTGAGTTGGCCGAAGGGGATAAAGTAGTCGAGACCAGGATCGGACAGACTCACGTGTCACCTAAGCAACATCGACAAGTTTGCCCAAGACAAAGCTGAGCGAGCAGGTGTAGTATGTCCATGCCATACGTGTGGAGTGTTGGAGTACCCCAATGTCTTACTCGGCAGAATGTCGTGTACACATGAGTACAACGGGTGCACGGTCTTGGAAGCGGTCAGATTGCCGTCAGACGAATCGCAGACAATCGTAGTACATGTAAAGTCAATGTTCGGGATGATATCTAACCCAAGAAATCTAGACACAACTTCGCGTGGAAGACCCCGTCAGACATACGTCTAAAGGCAGGCAGCCGCGAGCTGATACCACATACTATACGAGGACTGGCCATTTCGTACACCCTACGGCAAAAGGCTCCTGCTGCTAGCGCGCAAAGAATTGGTCAAAGCCACTCGGGCTTCTTCGGACTCCTGACGGGCTAGCTCGATCTCTTCTTGCTGCAGACGACGCGCCTGCAGCTCAGCCATGCGTAGTTGTTCACGATCATCAGCTAACACGAGCTCACGCACTGTGTAGTCGTCGATGCGACCAACCTTCTCCACAGGTACACGGTGCTTCAGCTTGGGCAGCAGCCACAGCAGCACGTTCGGGTCGCTGTACGATTCGTAAACACGTGGGTCGGACACGGCCTTGACGTTCGAGTACGGATCTAGCATGAAGATGAGGCTGGGATCCATACCCACCTCCTCGTACGCCACAATGTCAGTGGGTCGGTTGCCGAAGCCTGCGACGAACACTGGTTGCTCAATGATTCGACCAGCATGGATCAGCGTGAGCTGCAGCTCGTTCAGCACTTGGATCTTGAACAGGTGCGGTGTGCGATTCACCACTTCTGTGAACAGCGCACCTGTGAGGCCAGTTGAGTTTGTAATGAGGACCCCCGGCGGTAATGAAATGGATTGTTGCACTGCATTCTCCAAATGTGTTCGCGAGGCGGAAGCCCAGTCGAGTGGGCGTGCGGTGAGATACACGATTCGCATCCCCAGCTCGTGCAACTTTGTAAAAAAGTCACAAGCTCCCGCATGCAGGAAGTCATACTGGCCGAGGCGCAACGTACGGATGTGTCCTTCCACGTCACTGATCGTCAGCGTGCCGTCCAAGTCAACCACAACAACCGATTCATTCGGTCCCCACAAATGCAGCTTTGCATCCACGTACCGGACAGTGTTTGTATACTTGTGCACGTGCTCAAACCGCACCAGATTTGGCTGTTTGTCCGTCAGGTCGGCAAAGAGCAGGTCTTCGGGTGGAAGCATCAAGCCCCCCGTGATAAAAGTACATCTCCCGCGGTCGAGCAGCTCCATTTTAGTCGGCAACTCTTTACCATTGACCAAAATCCGGACCTTGTCCCCCACACCTGCAGCAAAACTCGTTCGAAAGCGTGACCACGAGAACGACACGTGCCACGACGTTGTCAAATATGTTCCGTCTGTGTTCTTTACGGCGACAATGTCCACGGCATTGCCTGCCATCTTGTACGCCAATGACGAAGTCAGTTGATTGGCAGTCGAGGCCACCTGCAGTGCATTACGGTTCGAACTGGAAAGTGCTTCGTGTGGCAACACGTTGCTGCCTTCAGTCGCACCAGCAGTAGCAATCATAGTCGTACGATCATCAGTACTACTACTACTGCTGCTACTACTACCGTTATGGCCACTGTGACTGCATTTCTCGGGTGTTTGGTCGGGTTGGTCCGTCAGTGGCGGAAAGAGGTCGTTATGGGCAGTGAACGCTGGCTCGATGAATGACATGGGTACCTCCCCGGCACCCCCTTCTTCTATTGGGGCAGTGTCGGCCACGGGCTCAGCTTCTTCTGCCTCGACTCGAGTGACCTGCTCACCGCTGAGGCCGCAGCCGAACAGGTCGTAGTTCTCGTGGTCGTCACGTGCATCCAGAGGAGGACTCCGCGAAGACGATGGGTGGACGCGATCAATGGCCTCTTCAACGCGAATGTCGTTCGGTGGGTCCCCTCTCGCGTGTGGAGACGTCGCGGACGAAATGTCCGTAGTCGAGTTCATTGTTGAGCTGACGATTAGCCACTTACTTGTCTCTCTCTCTCTCTCTCTCTCTCTCTCTCTCTCTCTCCCTCTCTCTCTCTCTCTCTCTCTCTCTCTCTCTCTCTCTCTCTCTGTGTGTAGCGCACGTAAGTTACTAAGTGGCGAACGTAACGGGGATAGTGTGGAAATGACTGACCGACTGACCGACTGACCGAACGGACGGACGAATGCAGCAGCAGCACTGGATTTGCTCGCAGTTAACGCTGAAGAAGAGCGGTCAATCAAATAGAGTGTTGCTCGCGTTCATAGCATGACGGCTCGCGAGAGAAGAGTGTCAGCGAAAGAGACACTTGTTTCTGACGGCGACGCAGACTTGATCGACTGCGTAGAGAGTCGAGGCAGTCAAAAAAATCCCGTCGGCTTTCGCAGTGGCTGCAATACTCGCAACCGATGCAGTTTCTGCAGCTGACTCTGTAGCCTCGCATGCACTGTATCGGACCATCGTATACTTCCTATGATGGCATGGACTTATGTTTGTGTTGTAGCTTTTGACGGGCTACTTTCTGTGCACCCAGAGATGGCTTGGAGTGTATTCGAATGAACGCTCAGGCGCCTTAGGGTGTCAGGACCAACTCGCCAATTCGGTTGAAGAGACAGAGCTCGACATGGGTGTGGGGGAAAAGGTGACGGCGTTCTATTCGGCTTGATGAAGAACAAGTGTCTGTAGGTCGTCTGGATCGAAAGGCACGTTTCCCCGTTCAGGAAGAGAACGTATCGTTTTCGTAGGCAACGTGAGTCTCCGGATACAACGAGATATGAATCTCCCTTTTCGGCAGGGCTGACGTACGTACAAGCCAGCGAGCAACTTCATATATGCTTGGTCTACGGCCGGCAGCTCAAACACTTGGTATTGCAGTCCATCTGTCTGCACACATCTGGGATACTGTCGAGGACAGATCAGCGTACAGCTTCGAGTGGTAAAGCTGGATACGCTTTGTGGAGCAACTCGGACTTTGTCTCGATAATTCGACATTTGAACAGTTTGAGGTAAACTTCTCGGACGCGAACCGGGCACAGGTGCTGGGCGGGTGCAAGAAAATACTGATCGCGTTGCTCGAGTTTTCGTTGCAATTTCTTCGGATATTTCTTACCTTCTTTTAGCGTCAATCGCTGCCTTTGCAGGATCGGAGTTGTGGCACGTTTTACTCTTTTGTTGCAGCAGTAAAAGCGCCGAAAAGAAGCTCGTAATTTACGAAAGAACCGCGGCTATGACCGAGGTCGATCGCGTGTCTTCGAAAGAAAGTCTATTCAGCAAATAATCACCGAAAAAAGCGCCATTTAGACGCGGTACCGAACTGGATGATACGATTCGCACTTTGGCCTTCATCGCGACGCCAATTTACGAGACACGAAAGAGCACAACCTCATCATTGTGTGCTCACGTCGAAACTGCAAGTGTAAGCAACCCCTGCCGCTCGCATTATAAGGTGATCGTTAGGTATAAGGATCTTCAAATGTGCAGACTCAGCCGGGCACTGAAAGTCACATCTCGTGAATAGGCTCTTAGAGACAGCAGAGTAGCGATGCTTGGTAGAATGAGTGCTTTTTAGTCAGTCAGAAATGGCCATGTGGTCGGCTTGCAGACGCTTCGCATGTACTGACCGTGTAGCAACGCAATAATCTTGCAGCGAAGTAAAAAAAGTTGAGTGCCTGCTGCGATCGGTAGCATGAATAGTGAACAAAATCGACGCATGATTCGGACACGAGACACGAGACCACGGACTCAGCCATGTCGTTTTGTAGTTAATACGTATACAACGATGAAGCAAGACTAGTAAGCAAGCGCACGCTCACACGCCGGAATGCTAATTGGCACGAAATTGGCGTAACTCATGGACTTTGCCTGCTTTCGCAGCAGCGTCGAGCTTTGTTGTGTCAGGGAATCGGTCCTCTTCATCATGCACGGTCTGATGACCGTACTTGATCTCACAGCCCAATTCGACCTCGATACAACAATTGCCATTTCCAAAAGCGAGCGGTTTCTCATGCCTAAACCTTTTAAGCGGACATGCTTTACAGCTCCTACAGAGACGCTGACAAGTTCTGAGTCCTGCGATTTCAATGTTAGCTTCTTTGTCGCCTGAAAAACGATCATACAGTACATGCTGCTTCCTGCGGTGGTCAGACGACGTTGTTACAAGCAAACGCTATCTTCAAGCCAGTATCGTCATGCTCGCTATGTGGACCATAAACTCGACTGTATCGCAGCAAGGCCTGTGAGCCCGACATCGACACTATTTCGACTAAACTCATTGCCCAGTGGTCTACGACAAAGCTTTGTCTACAGCGCGCATAAAACAATAGTGTGAATACACGTGACTGCTGATGTTGCGCTCATGTCCAACATGTCGAGGCATGCGATCAGTGGAATGCAACTGCCAGTCGTCACGAACCGAAGAGTTTGTAGGATATCGTGAACACGACCAAGCACTTGAGGAAACGGAGCCGAGCACGGGGAGGGAACCTGATAGAATAAGAGCACACCTGCGAACTGTACGGTGCAAGCCTTACAAGTAGGCTGGCAAATGTGTGCGCTTTGTTTCACATTTACTGACAACAGATGGGCTAGCAGAGCGTAGGGCCGATTCAGTACGCCAATGTTGCATGTGGATGCAGCAATGTCCACGTTTCAAACTCGTGCAAGACGAGGGGTTTACGACGCTCTCTACCTCGCAACATTTCAGGTCAAAGACAGAGATTTGCACTGGACCGATTCGCACTGGATCACGCAAAAGGAATACAAGCACTTGTGTCGCCAAGTACAACGATAAATGATATCGAGTCAAATTGCACACGTTTCATAAACTGACAGCACGGCCATACTACAGAACAGAACACATCGGTATAGCCACAACCGGCACGAGCAGACTTTTGTTAGCGATTATGGAAAAAGCGTGTGGTAGCCAAAGAGAACTTGGCACTTGCAAACGGAGTGACATGCGAACAGTCGAGCCAGCATGTCGTATTTCATTCATCCGTGGAAGAACGGTAGTATTTGCTGGTGGTAGAGCGAGCCAACGCCCTGTAAATGATCGCGGCTGGATCAATATTGTAATGCCAGAGCTGCCACTGCTGTGAACTTCCGCACAACTTCATCACTCAACGCTTTCTTGGCCTCATCAGCACTGCAAAGCAGCAGCAAAGTAAGCGATCATTTCGTGTGTGAGCCAGTGACCCAGAATGTATTTTGGCGAACACATGCAGGTACACTGCCGGCGACTGCCGTGCTACATAAGATATCCCTCAGACTGTGCAAGAGCAAGCGCCGATCGCTTGGCATCATTGAACAGGTTTTTCGTCTCCTCAATGTCATCCACCGACACTTCCGAACGGCCTTGAGTCTCGGCAAGGATCCGAGAAGGCGTGAGCAGCTGCACACTGTACCGAAGCGAGGTCTCTGAGCCGATTTCGCCCAGTCGCGAAATGGCGTCCTCCATGAGCTTGATGCTCTCAGCTTCAGCACGGATCTTAATGATCTGCACCATCTCTTCCACAGAGTAGGGCATCGTGCGGATGATGAGCATGCGGTCCAGCAGATCGAGTGGAACGCCGTGGGGAGACGAAACGTCAGTACCGCGGATCTGGCAAACACCACGGTTCGTGGCAAATACGACGATCGGGGCCAGCGTCGACTCGAGTGCACGGTTCAAGTACGTGAAACACTCAATATCCAGCATGTGGACCTAGAAAACACACGTCAGTTCATGGATGATACCACAACTACGCCACTACTTTGTTACTCGTCAGCACGCACCTCATCCACAAACAGCACGCCCGGCACGAGCTCCGCCACACCTTGGTCAATGTACCGATTGACGACTTTGTTGATCTCCGTCCGCAACTTTTCAGTAATCTCTGTCTTCTTGGGCTTCATCATCTGGCCCATCATGGACATGATATCCTGCCCACCTTGCGGACGTGCATTTGCGATATCCAAATCATGGAGCGTCACATCCTGAATCAGCTCCTTCTTCTTGTGGACGTCGCCCTTAGGGATCGGCACGTACTCTTCCGCTTCCAAGTCGTACTCAGTGGCGTAGGCGTCCGAGCGACCAACGCGCTTGACGCTGCCGTTGTTGGCTTCAATGTATATGACGTCGCCCACTGCCACTCTCTCTTTCTGCAGTGACTCGTAGATACTCGGGTCGAGTCTCAATTGCTTGGAGCCTTTTGTGGTCTTGAGACCCACAATCACGTGCGAGATGGTCTTGCCGTACCCGCCAAGCGGATTCTCCGTCTCCTCCGGCGTCATCTCGGTCACTTCGCCTTCGTACACCTCTTTGCTCTCTTTGATCCGCAGTCCAATCGCACGCCGAAAGTTCTCCATCAACACCTCCGTCTTCTTCACTTCCGACGAGTAGACTTCCGACCCCACCATGGGACAGAACGGTACTTTCGGCCCCAGCTCTTGCGAGATACCCAGCGCCAGTGCCGTCTTTCCCGTCCCAGGCGCTCCAGCGAGCAGCAACGCGCGCCCCGCCATCTTCTTTGACTTGATGAGCTCGACCGTGAGGCCCGCGGCTTCGCGCGCCTTCTCTTGACCCACGAGTCCCGAGCCAATTGGCAAAGCTGTACCATCTGCCTCCAGCCCCAGACCTTTGACGTGCGTGTGCGACGCAATGCGCTGCGCCTTCGCAGTCGACTGCACCTCTTCAATCTTCATGGCGCGACGACAGCACGGGATCTGATGGTCGCGCGCGGTTGCTGCACTTTTGACCAATGAGAGCGACGGTATACTTTAACAAGCAGCCGACAGAGCGGGACGTTGCCAGCATTCTCTTTTGGCTCGCTATTGGCTCGCGCATATGGGAATGTGTGTGTGTGTGTGTGTGTGGAAAAATAGGTCCTTTTGTACGTCGAGCAAATTGCTGGCGGGGCTCAAATTCCTATCAAGAGGTGCGACCCGTTTGGCTGTAGCGGCGGGCGATTCCATTGTCGTGGCCGGCGTCAAATGGTCCGTCCGCTATTCGGAGGCGCCCTGAGCTGCGACATCCCCGAGGGCTTTGCCGACGTGAGTGCGTTTCGCCAGGTACCGGACAATCAAGAAGTGTTTGCCAACGCGGCGACGGACCAGAGCGTCATCATTGAGCTCCTGCAGTACGAGGAGAACGTGCGGGACGCAGAGAGCGCGCGCTACTTTTTCAACGAACTCGCGCAGTCGAATGGGTGCGGCCCCGACGAAGTGACAGTGCGATCCGCCGAGACGGCCGACATGGAGCGAACGGCGCGTGTCTCAATTGACGCGCCGCATACGACGCAGCTCATTGTGGGCGACCAGCGCGTGGCCAAGTTCAAGGAGGACGGGTACGCCAAGAACGTCGTGCGCGTGTACCTGGGCAACGTCCGTCTGCCTGGCGTGACGACAGACGTGATAGTGACCGTGTCGAGTCCGATGCACATACACCCGTCGAGCAGTAGTAGTCGCGACGCTCCTCGTGTTGAGCATAGCTCAGACGCGGCGGCGGCGGCGATATTCAAGCGCGCGCTGCAGACGCTGGTAGTGGTGGACTGGTCGCTGTTCCAGTGAACGCGACCCGTTCGGTGTGGAATGGGAACGTGTGGAGTCGGTGCATTGTTTGTTTTGTTCACTCGGTTAGGCACAACTTGACGTATCACTGGGTAGACGCGTTCGATTAGACAGCAAGTGGTCTGAAGATACCGATGCAACTCGCTTGACAGCGTCGTTTTGAGTGTGTACACTCACGTTCAGGTCAAGAAGTGTTCGCAGGAGACGGCGATGGATACAGACGTCAGGCGCAAGATCTGTATCTTGCGCCTGACATTCACGAGAGCTATGCCAACAAGGAACGAACGATCCTCAATAGCGTCAGCACTAGTATACTGACCGTTCGGTGGTAACGTCGTGGGCTCACAGCTGATCTCGTGCACACGTCGAGATCTCTTGTGTCAGCACAAACATGACCAAGAGCTAACGCACCTCGATAGACTAAATGTTGGCAAGAATAGCGAGACCTGTTAACGACGGAGTGTACCAGGTTAGCGGCGCGCCCGTCGTCGCGATGGACACAGTCCGAAGTGCAGGGCCTGAACGACGACGTGTAAATAGTGCGGCAACACCCGGCAATGAGTGCTTAGTCTCCGATCGATGCTACTGCAGCCCACTGCAGCTTCCAGTGACGTCATGCTGAAGGCACTACACCAACGCAATGGCACTTTTAGCCAGCCTGTCCACCTGGTCCTTGTCAAAGGGCATAAGATCGACTTTCGCTGTAGTCGAGACGGCAGGCAGCGACTCAAGTCGCGGAAGTGTTGATAGTCTGGCTTTACAGACCCACATATCGAGTGTGGATTCGAGGACCATGTGACGTATTAAACGTCAGCAATTTGGGTGCACTGGAAGCACTGACGAGCCGTTGCGGCGACTCGGAAATGGTGTTGTTACTCAGAAAGTCAAAGGGCGGATCAGGGGCTGTGTGGTTGCTCGCCACCCTCTTTTCAGGCAAAGCAGCTTCAGTTGTGGATGTCGACAAGAACGACAGCGGACGGACGACCTGTGCACTCGTTTCAAGCTCGACAAGAAGCTAATGTGCGGCAGTCTGCGATAAAACACTCCACCGTTTGGAAGATGGCTACGGTAATGGGGTGAACCTTCTACATGTCATTGTCACGAGTCGTGTCAATGTAAATGTTATCTTAATCGATGCTATGTTTACAGTATTACCCTTGCGAGTCAATACTACTGGAATATTTCATTTAGGAGTCATATTCGGCATTGCTTTACAGTCGGTTGATAGAGGCCATGATATCACCGGATAAACCAACAATTGCTGCTTGACGCGCGCAATGGGTAGTGTGTGAGAGTCTCCATTGGAAGTTCGTAGTATAAAATCGTACAAGTAAGACCAAGAAGGTCAGATGACATGAAACCTAATTATATCATGCATGGTCCTACTACCCTCCCACTCTCAGCATTACTTGTTCAACTCTATCGCTTACTTTAGCCCTCACGTGGCGGTCGGGAGCACACACTCTTGTACTGTAATAAGTACAAGGGCTTGCGTGCAAAACTGGATGGAAGCATGCTTTTTTTCACGAATGCTGTGCATTCGCACTGCGTCGCCCCTCAGCATGGGTGTTCGATTTCAAAACCCCACGTACATTCTATGCCAGGAGAAAGGATACTAAATCTGAGCAAGAACTGCCTAGAACGAGGGAGCAGTTAAGCTGTTCATGTTGACATTAGTATGCACTGATGAATAGCTACCCTTGGTTCTATCATAACAATATGCAACTGTGTTTTCCAACGCAAGCTAATATCTCCTCACCACCCATTGCGCGCGTCTAGCAGCGATTTGGTGGTTTCGTTGATCGATATATTGGCCTTCGTCAACCAATGTGTGGACCGGTGCCGACGATCACACTCGAAGAAATTGTCATCGATTATTACTTGTGAGAAGTATTTATTGAAGAGTATTGTTTGCGAAGATGAGGATCCTTTTGACCCTTTTAGGTGCCACAATAATCGTGCGGGCTCACTTCGTTACATCAGCGGCATTTGATCGCCAGGTGTTGTTTTACAGCATGAGGAAGTCGTGTGCGTGTACACTGATGCAAACCGTACAAAGTCGATGCATGGGAAAGTTGCTAAACGACGAATCCTGTGGCGGTCCAAGCTGGGGTCACACCGTGGTGCGACTTATCGCACTTGCTGAAGAGCCTGTCGAGCGTGTTGGACATTGTCCAGCACCAAGTGAGCTCGAATTTGAGAATGCATGCTTCCCGTACCTTCTTGTGACCAAAAGACGGTACGCTGGTTGGCTCCAAATGAGGCTAGAAGAGCACGTGTAGCTGGGCTTGAAAGGTCTTGACATTGTGCGTTGTGACAACGGCTCGTTGGGGCGACGCGTGATGGATGCAGTACCGCAATAGATCTGCCATAACCGGGACATGTCGGATGCTGCATCGTACACGAAGAACATCATGTCGGATCTTCTGTAGAGCCGTGTCGATATCCGACGGGTGGTAGTCACGAAAGAGCTGACGAACATGGTTGGCCAGGATGGCGATGCAGAAAAAACAGATCCATATGAGCTGGCTGAAGGACTAGTCGTAGGGCCGCTGTGAGTCGCTTGGAGTACCTCATTGCTTTCGTATCTTCCCGACTCAATGCAACCATTGTCCGTCAACGGTAGTCGTGGACAATGAAGCACCAGTCCGTCTTGTGTACGAGGTCTGCCTCTGCCAGGGGCCCAAACCGACGGCAACAGTGCCGAAAGCTAGCGCTACTTGTCGACTTTCACGCAATACCGTTCACAGCAATCGTCAGTACATACATTAGATGCAGTAGCCGATATACGGCACGCCACAGCAGAGAATCTTTCCTCGTCTCTGTCGTTCGCGTGTTTGTGTGTGTGTGTGTCGAGCCGAATCTTGGCGCAATTTCCTGTTCCGGTCACCACTACGTTTCAGTATGAAGCACCAGCACGCCGAATCTCGTTCTGTTTCTCGAGTGTCGCATCGTCGATTACAAACGTCCAGTGTGGTCCCTTTTGTGCTTCTCCCACTATCGGCTCCATCCATAAACCATTGTCGAGTCAGACGAGGTGGCGAATCTCAGCGTAATCGACACCGTCAAGTTGACCCGTTTGTCTTAACTGACCTACCGGTCAAGTCGCTTTTTTTGCAGTGGATAGCTCGTTGCCATGCACAACGCTCGGCACTGTACAATTTTGCTGTCGTTCAGGAAGTACAACAGCTTCAGCGACGATGAAGTTCGGTAAAGGATTACTGCGCGAGATTCTGCAGAGCAACCCGGAGTGGGCGCCGTTCTGGCTCAACTACAAAACGCTCAAGAAACGCATCAAGGCCGTGACTAGCGCAGCGCACCACGCCACCGATCAACGCGATATCTGTACGTCTTTGTCGGGAAAGCGCTGAACGTGTACTTGGTGCACGCTGCTGACTTGGTACTGTTCACCAGCTGAGTCCGACCTGGAGGTGGCCTTCTTTCGCGACCTGCAGACCGAACTCAAGAAGATCTCGCTCTTTTACGCTGCAGAGGAAAAGCGGTACTCCTTCCGCTTTCTTCAGCTACGGTCAGTGCTCAAGGGCCTCAAGGTGCGTGGTTATTGGGGCGCACGTGCTGTAACTGTCGATTGCTGATTGCTCGGTGCATTACTGTTGTACAGGCGAGAGGAACGATTGATGCAGTCGACGCGCAGCGCCTCATGTATGCCTTTGTCCACTTCTACCGCGAGTGCATTCGCTTGGAAAACTACGCTGTCCTCAACTACCAGGGCTTTTCAAAGGTGAGAGACCACGACAAAGGTGACGGTCGCTGTGCGAGGCGCGTCGCTTACGTCCGTTGTTTGTTGCCAACTCAGATTCTGAAAAAGCACGACAAGATGACGGGTTACAACACGCGGTCAAAGTACATGCGGCGCAAAGTGAACTTGACGTCGTTCTCGAGTTGCCCGAGTTTGCTGCAGATCTTGTCGAGCATCGAAGAAATGTTCCGCGAGGTCGAGCGCGCTACCGTCAAAGCCGAGCACTAGACTCTGCACGGAGCCGCCGGCGGTACAAGCAAAGCTCGCGTGCTGGCCCTAGTGAGCGTGGGCAAGCCGTGCCGTACAGTGCTCTACGCTCTCTCTTCGTGCAAGCTCAAGCCGATCAGCTCTTGGCCGCGGGACCAACTTGTTCTCTTGTGTTCAGTATTGGAGACTTTTGGACACGCAGGACGCCACTAGCACATTTAATTTATCCATACAGAAAACAACATCGATCTCATCACGACGCACGGATTGATAACAAACGGCTTCAAACCACATACAGTGGAGAGTACACAGCGTATACTGCAGTGGTCGGAAGCAAACCCGCCATCAGTCGAGTGGACTGGTAATTTACGACTGTCTTTTTTTTTACCCAATCGATGCCACGAATAACATTTGGGATCATATCAACACACCACATCGGCCAACAACGTCGTGTTCAGAGCTGATTTGGCCGCATGGCGCAACTTCTTCGGGCTGCAGGTACGACGTCTGTGGTACGGACGCTGCGCTCCATGTGCTGACTACCCCTCTCCCATGTGCTTTGCGGTCTTTTTCTACAGCCAATGGCGATCTCGAGAAAGTGACTGAGTTGCGCAGTAGTTGGGCGTTCCAGAACAAGAAGGGCGAGTCAGGTATACCACCGCCTCACCCCGAACGATACCTCGTGCTACACCTAACGACACAGGCGCCCCTTGTTATGATTACCCAATCCGCTGCGGCCAGTGCTGCATGTGGCTGTAGCCGAAGATCAACTGGACATCGTGCAGCATCTCGTGGCCAATGGTGCGATGCTCAATCTGCAGGACAAGAAGCACTGCTTTACGCCGCTGATGCTGGCGCTGGCCCAGCAACCACCAAGGTTCAAGGAAATCATTGAGGCACTGCTGAAGGGCAAACCCGACTTGAACCTGCACAACTCGTCGGGTCAGACGGCTGTACATTTGGCAGCAGGTGGGATAGCATTGGCTGTGGTTTGATGGTGTCTTTTTGTTGGAGCACGGGGAATATGCAGAGAGGCAGTTGACTTCTGAACTTTGTGTCTTGTGGGGAGCGTCCAGAGTACGAAGAGCTGGAGATTCTCAAGCTGCTGCTGGGCTCGAAAGCCAAAGTGGATGCTGCTGACAATGAGAACATGACAGCACTCCATGTCGCGGTTGGAAAGGGGAATCTTGACATCGTCCGGCTCCTGCTTGAAACAGGCCGTGCGAATGTGAACGTTGTGGACAGCAAGGGCAACACACCACTGTAACAGTCTTGCCGCTGTTTCGTGTCGCGACGATCGCACGCTTTGGTTCTCATTGTCGACGATGTCTGGTGCATGCAGGCACTGGGCATGTATCAAGATTTGTGACGACCAGCTCGAGTTGATCAACTACTTGATCTCGAAGGTGTATCCGAGTATCGTTTGCCTGGAGAGCGGACAAACAAGCGCTACGAAGCAATCGAGATCTCACACCAGTTGCTTGTTTCTCATTTGTAGGGTGCAAAGCCTCTCAAGAATGTGCACGGACACACGCCTCTGCACTCGGAGGCGATGCACTGTGACCCGACTACGGATTGGCCTACTGCAGCCGCAGAGGTACTGACGACTGTGTTCCCAGATCTGGTAGCTGAGACCAGCAACAGGGGCTTGACCGCCCGGCAGACTTTTGAGCAGGGCATTGACTCAGAAGAGCCAGTGAAGCCGTCTCTGGCCAAGTCGTCCAATGAGGAACGACACCAAGAACGCCGCGGCAAGAGTGACGATGATGAGAAGTACCAGGACGGTGCTGCCGCTGCACGAGCTGGTACGTCTGGACGCATTCTCACGTCAAGAGTGCTCGTTAATCCCATTAACTTCTGTGCAATGATGACGTGAAGCCGCCATTGCCCATTCCAAGAAGAAAAAGACCCCGAAGACCAGCAAGGAAGGCAGCAGCATGGCTCCGTATATGTGGGCCGCTTTGGCCTTCGCCATTCTGGCTGTCTTGAACGCCGTGTTTCCATCGCACTCGTAACATGGATGCGCCATTGTGGGCTGTCCTGGGAAGGCACATTACATTCAGAGTTCGACCAGTGTGCGTACAAGTTACAAGCAGAACTGTCTTGACTGCAATACTCCTGCAGTGCTTATCAACAATCACTATCAGACGAAGACGATCCTTCCTGGCTATGGCGTTCAACTGCGTCTTCTACTTCTTCGTCGTCGTCGTCGTCATCTTCGCCGACGTCAGCCTCATCTTCAATAAAGCGATTGCGACCGTGGGTTCGACCAGCAATCTCGACCTCGTCATCGGAATCGGACTCACTCCCCTCGTACGAATTGCCATCATCTTCACTATCATTCTCGTCTTCTTGCTCTCCGGATGCCTCCTCACCACTAAGATCACTGCCATTTTCGTCTTCTTGCTCTCCGGATACCTCTTCACCACTAAGATCACTATCATCATTGACGAGAAAGCCTTTCAAGTTGCCATTATCATCGACGTCTTCCTGATCCAAACGGCTGGGGAAGTCTAGTCGCCCGGCAAGATCAGGCAAGTCAAGGAGAATCTCATCCTGGTTGCCATCGAGGTCGTCGAACACGTTTGACAGCAGCACCTGCTGGACTAGAGAGGTCTTTCGCTCCAAGTGCCAGTGCTCGCACAGCCGCTTCAGCAACCAACCAACATCACGCACTGCCGACAAACTCTCCAGCAGCGGATGCAACAGCTCCATCACTTCCGCATTCGTTTCTATCAGCGCAACACGACGTTCCAACGTTGCGATGAAGACTGGATCACGCACGCTCAAATCTCCATTCTCCACAGCAGACGCCACTTTGTTCATAAACACGCCGGAGTTTCCCGATCCCATTTCAAAGATCTTGACAAGATGCTTCGCGGACAAGTTCACACCCAATCCTTCCAAGAAATCGACGCTTACAAGTTCGGGGCAAGTCTCGCAGAGGAATTCTGCCGTCGTGCTCTTCTCGTATTCCCATTCTGCAGCAAACAGCCGAACCAAACGACCCACCTCTACAAGCTCCCATCTCTCTCGAGCAGCCGAATCGATGAGACGTGAACATAGCGACGCGTCATCTTTGTAACTACGCTCACACTCCTCATCACCGTCGTCATTGCTTTCTGAACAAGATTCATCCGAAACGTGGGACGTCGCGACCTGCTTTGTGCGTTTGGGTGAAGCTGGAAACCGACGTCGCGGTTCTTCTTGAGTAGCCGAATACTCAACATCTTTCGTATGTGCATCCTCTGCTAAAGCATCCACGACAGTAGACTTGCCGGTTGTCTTTCCTACCTTTCCAGGCACTCTTTGCCACTTCTTGGACACGACTTTGTCAACACACTGTGCCGTACCTGATAAGCCCTGCGTGGCTTGCATAAGCACTTGTGACGCTTTGGAAGGTGGCTCATCACTGGGCGTCGCAAGCGTCCCTCGCGCTTCCTTTTTCTTTTTGCAAGACGTCGGTCCAGCGAATTCGGTAGCTTTGGTGCCATTGTCGCACACCGCGACCTCCCCTTTTCCACTGGTAGCAGGCAGATTGGCACCGTCCTCAGCTAGCTTGTTCCGCCGACAAAAGCGCGAGCTTCTTCTTCTCCTTCTTCCGCATTTGTTTCTTCTGTTCCCTAGTCAAGCGTGTCGACGGTATATTGCAGGACGTCTTGTCTCCAGCTAAAGCATCTGTCTTTCCAGCAGCTTCTCCGCATTCCTTCACTACCTCTACCTTCGAAACAGCACTTGCTTTATCGACCACCACTGCTTTGTGCTTTGTGCGCAACGCCTTATCCAGCTTCTTCATCACGATCGACTTCACACTCCCTAGTGCTTGTTCCAGCACGTCCACTCCATTGTCATCATCTCGTGCCTCATCCGTTTGCACGGCATGCCACCGTGGGGTCTGCACCTGCTGCACCTTTTTCACGGCAACTCTTTGGCGCTTCACATGCTGCAACACAGTCTTCTGCTCGTCACTTGCATAACTCTTCGAGCCCTGCAGAGTCCTAAACACCGTAGAGCTCATCGCTATCGTATCCTTTGCCATCTTCGTCGTCTCCTTCTCCATCTTCTTCTTCTTCTCCGTCATTGTCTCCGCAATTGTCGCCACCTGCTCCTCTTCCCTCTTCATCTTCTCCTTCTTCATCTTCTTCTGCTTCTTCTTCTCCGTCATTGTCTCCTCAACTGTCGCCACCTGCTCCTCTTCCCTCTTCATCTTCTTCTGCTTCTTCTTCTCCGTCGTTGTCTCCTCAACTGTCGCCACCTGCTCCTCTTCCCTCTTCATCTTCTCCTTCTTCATCTTCTTCTGCTTCTTCTTCTCCGTCATTGTCTCCTCATCTGTCACCACCTGCTCCTCTTCCCTCTTCTTCTCCTTCTTCATCTTCTTCTGCTTTTTCTTCCCCGTCATTGTCTCCTCAACTGTCGCCACCTGCTCCTCTTCCCTCTTCATCTTCTTCTGCTTCTTCTTCTCCGTCGTTGTCTCCTCAACTGTCGCCACCTGCTCCTCTTCCCTCTTCATCTTCTCCTTCTTCATCTTCTTCTGCTTTTCTTCCCCGTCATTGTCTCCTCAACTGTCGCCACCTGCTCCTCTTCCCTCTTCTCCTTCATCTTCTTCTGCTTCTTCTTCTCCGTCGTTGTCTCCTCAACTGTCGCCACCTGCTCCTCTTCCCTCTTCATCTTCTCCTTCTCCATCTTCTTCTTCTTCTCCGTCATTGTCTCCGCAATTGTCGCCACCTGCTCCTCTTCCCTCTTCATCTTCTCCTTCTCCATCTTCTTCTTTTCTTCTTCTCCGTCGTTGTCTCCTCATCTGTCGCCACCTGCTCCTCTTCCCTCTTCATCTTCTTCTGCTTCTTCTTCTCCGTCGTTGTCTCCTCAACTGTCGCCACCTGCTCCTCTTCCCTCTTCATCTTCTCCTTCTCCATCTTCTTCTGCTTCTTCTTCTCCGTCATTGTCTCCTCATCTGTCACCACCTGCTCCTCTTCCCTCTTCATCATCATCTCTTTCTTCTTTTCCTTCTGCTTCTTCTGCTTCTTCAAAGTGACGAGTTTCATTATTGGTACGACTTCCTGATCGTCCACGTCGCCGTCACGCGTCAACTGCTTTTTCAGGCGCTTGTCCTTTGCCTTCAACAGCACGCGGGGCGTCTCTTCTGCCGCCACGGGCGATCCTTCTTGCGGCAACGCGAACATGCGCGCGCGGAAAACGTCCAATCGCTGGCGGGCGTCGCCGTCGCTGCCTGAGTCGCCTTGGAAGCTCTCGGAGCGCTGGCGCTTCTTCGTTCCCATTGCCACGCTGCAAATTGTTGGCTCAGGAGAGACGGCGTCGAATCGAGCGTTTCGATAGAGGACCTTAACGGATCGGCTCTAAACAACGGCATATCGAAAACTTTCAACAAGACCGTTTTCAACAGCGGTTGTAACGGTATGTTTTGTCAGATCCTTTTGCCAAAGAATAGTCCCGATCTGTAGTAAAAGGCACTGGACATAACTACTGGTCAAGCGTAGCAAGCGACACGTCGTGAGATGTGGCGAAACGAAGTTAAAGAGTGTCGCTCGTGTTTACGGTCTCAGCCTGTGCTCAGCATGGCTAGTCAAGGCAATGGGGTGGGTGGTACCTGCTGTACAAGCAAACAGTAATGCTTGCACTGATCATTCTATAGGTTCCTTCGGCTAAGGTGGAGGCATGAGAGAAACAGCTTGAGAAAATAGCTTTGTGGCGATCGCGAGTTGATTGATCGGTGTCAACTCCAGCCGTGTGTGTCGGACGCGGTACGTGCATCGCCCCTAGTGTAAAGTGCATGTTACCCTACGCATGTACGAAGCCCTTTACGTTCAGTTTACTCTTCGTCCACGCCAAAAACGAACTGGCAGTACTCGAAGACGTAGGCAACTTCCAGCAGCCTTCGAACTCGACGGCTGGTTCAAAAGTTGTATGTAGCATGCACAAACAAAGGACCTTACCTGTCTTACACTCGTGGACCGACTGAAAGAGGCAATCATGGAGGTCCATGTGGGCGCTCTCCACGTCGGTAGCTGTCAGTCAAGACATGCGTAACTTGTCATGCATGGCAGGATGGGCTGTAGCAGATCTGGAAGAGGCAGCTATCGTGGAAGGTCTAATTGCTCGTGCTAAGCTAGCAGATAAGCGCAGGAGAGACTATCGCCTGTGGCTTCACACCACGCAACGACAAGCCCTTCCTATCACGACAAACGATCTTGCTAAGGTGCATGCAGTACAACGACTCCCAGCTTGGCACTGCAATGCACGGTCTATTCCGCAGCAGGACATGGGTTGTAGCCAAATTGCAAGTGCTCGAACGTCAGCGCCAAAGCACATGACTGTCCACTCTCACCAGCTCAACTCGTTGTTGTCGTATGTTTACAAGCGCGGTCGTTGTACGAGTGCTCCGGTGGCCAACTTGCGTTCCCGAGAAAGCTTGTGCCTTCTCACATGATGATGATGCAAATGGTGGCGTTGCCGCAACATCATCGCAGATTCCCACGCGAGTCACACAGACACCTTTGACTGCGTCGTATCAACCGACAGACGCCATCGAATAAGATGCTACAGTGTCTTCCGAGACAAACACGTGCGGCATCTAGACTGGTGCGCCACAGTGCTGACAGGGCAGGTGGCGCGGGATAGGTTGAGGGGCATCAGGCATATGACACCGAGTGAGGTAACACACCATACTCGATGGATCAGCTTTTGCAACAAGATCACGTCGCACGCTTCCACTGCCGCAGGAACAGCTTATGCCGTGTTTCGATGGAGCAGAGCCAAACGATCGTCCGTCGTGTTTGCATGGATTCTTCTTCTTGTTCGATCCTTCCAACGCGTCGCGAAAAGCATTTGCATCTGTAACATACGTATGCGAGTCGACAGTGCCTAGAAAGGTGTCAACACACAGGAGGTCTCGACATATACCGCCGACTCGACTTGATGTTGGATCCACACTTGACGACTGCGTCATGTCGCCGCTTCACCAAAAACGTTCATCGATCGTCGCCAACTCTCGCAAAGATCACGTCCGAACGTGAGATACGGGTTGCGACGCTTGTGCCTCCACATGTTGAAAAACGGGCGTCGCAGTGAAGTGGGGTCGAGGATACAGCGCCACATCTGTTTTGCCAGAACTCTTGTCGCGGTTCTTGCAGTAGCGCAGTGGTTCTTTCTCGACACACGATCGAGCTCAGCTGAGCTTGAGCGGCGGACATTCACTGCGCGAAGAAGAGGATTTGCCGAGATTTGACGGACGACAATGCCTCGGAGCCAGAAAACCAGTCGCAAAGGTGTTGAACCTGTGCAGCTGAAACGGACGCCGGACCATTGGATCACGGCGCTCGGAATCGTGCGATTTGGTGCCATCGATACAGGCGTTTGCATTCTGCAGGCGAGAGGCATTGAGCTTGAGCTTGAGCTTGTGCCGGTTCGCATATAGCGACAGACGTTGCAAGTCCGCATCCATCGCGCCGTTTCGTGACCACGTCATGGCAGAAGAAGGTGCGTGTGGTTGAAGCTTCAACCTACACGAATCAACAGTCTGGAGCGAAAAAGTCATTGTATCCACCCGCGACGTTGGTGATCGTCGTGCATGGGGAAGTGGAATCGATGAGAGCGAAAGGGACGCGCTTCTTGGTGTAGACTGCACGAAGAACGATGACCTGATGCTACGTCACGAGGTGAGCCACGAAGCGCTCTTGCATGGGATGTCGGAAACGGCAGAGCTTCCAGGCAATGTTTACACAGACTCCAGATCCTTGAGGTCGTACGCATACACTATCTTGGACTGCAACTATGTTGGATCGCAAGTCGAAAAAGGCGGTCGAGTGAGCGTATCGTGCGGTCCGCCCCCGGCATCTTTGGCATCCTACGTCTCCTCTCCACCCGAAACCGGTGTCAAGCGAAAGTTCTCTAGCACGAACGGTGCTGGCTCGTGTCTGAAGAAGCGGCGCTACGGTTTTGTCGTCAGTACATCACACGCCTGTCGAGTTGTGGGATAGCTCTCAGGGTCTTTGCGTCACGAGGTAGTCGCAACGACAGACTGCAGCGCTCAGGCCAACACTTGCACGTCATCGTCGTGCCTCGGACGCGCTATAGCTGATACCTTGTGCCGCACACACAAGTACGCTCCCGCTGGTGATACCATCGAGTGTGCGTGTGTGGGTCCTTCAGATCAAATGGTCTCAAACTGAACTACATGTGAGCAGCAAACATCTGGACTCTTGCACGCTCCTGTGCCCCTATTGCTGATACGAAACGACTGTCCATCTCCTTTCGATGGCGTCTCACGTGGTGGAGACAAGGCACACCATACCGTAGCAGACCCCATTTTCGGATCGCGGAAACCAGTCCATCCAAATCCATCGCTCCCCTGTGGCTAACATCCGGCATAGACGCGCGAAGCATCAAAGCGTCAATGTTCTGTCAAGTACAGACACGCCATTGCTGTCGCGAACACTTTGTGGCGTAGGGCACGACAATCGACGCCGCAACTCTCGTTTCGGGCAAAGCGTTCAGTCGTCCGTCCGTCAGTCTGTCTGTCTGGCCCCAGCGTTCTCGACCACCATCAGCTCCAACTGCAGTCGCAACGACGCAAGTAGAAGTTTACTTGTCACCATCCATTCGTCTCGCTTCGTAGATACTCAATACCGTTTCCTTTGGCGTCGCAGGTGCTTACGAAATCGTGCGCCCGAGTGTCCGAGATCAGTTTTCTCGTGGATTTTATTTCCACGAGCAAGTGCCCTTCGGGTGCACACCACACCCACTGTCTGCTTCTCCCGTGCTCGGAACCGCGAGACACGGCGGCTCTTTCCAGCTGGCTGGCGGTTGGTTGGCCGCGTTGAGACTTTCAGTGTATTACGTAAGAACAACAAGTCGCCACAAAAAAGGACCCCGGAAGCTGACCTCGAGCCGCAACAGCAGGTTCGCTTCTGCCCGCTCGACCAGCTCTTCTTCCCATTCTTCAATCTGCTCGACCCACGCGCCTCCTCCCGCTGGCCGTAACGCCTGTGCAAATAGGTTCGTGCTGGCCGCACATGTTTCGCTTGTCAAGTTTGCAACGCGCCTTCTCACTCTAATGCTGTGCCTTTTTCCAGTGTAGCTCGTCAATCTCCATCTGTCGAGCCCAATCCCTCACCACGGACCACGTCAGGGACTAGCAGCAGTGCAAGTCAACCGTCCCCTTTTGCCTCCATTTAGTGGAGACAAGGGAGACAGCGAAGCGAAGCAGGGACGTACGACCGACCGACGACGAGGTCGTCATGCCAGTTCAGGTGCAAAGCGACCTGTTTGATGGCGAGCGCTTGTCGCAAACGCTCGGTCACCGCGGTGACCTCGTGGGTCCGTGGGACCGGCCGACGGACCTCGTGGCTACTCTCAAACGCAAACCGCGTGCAACCGGCACTCGATCGAAGATGGAGACAACGGGCGAGCGGATCAAGAAGTTGAAATCGCTGCCGAGCGACGAGACCGTCTTCTACTCGAATATCTGGTCGCCACCGGAAACGCGACGTGACGTGTCGGCTGCCAGGAAGTCACAGCAATTTGTGGACATCAGTCAAGTGGCGCACGTGCTGACGTCGTTGGACTACAAGAGCGGCTACGAAGAACCAGGACCGACAGAGTTTTTCAACATTTGGGGGCCGCTGGATGCGCAGCAGGATGTCCAACCGATAGCGCCGCTGAGCAAGCCACAGCACATGATCCGCAATGCATCGGCACGAATACCCGACCACAGCACTGCCGACAGTTCGGCAGCAGTTACGTTTTCCAGTACTCTAAGCCTCGGTCCGTTGAAAGTGGAGCTCAATACGCTCCCGAGCGTGCTCTCGTTGGACAGTTTTGCCAGCGTGAAGAACACCCCCGTATCAGCGCCGTATCAGCGAGGGCCAAACGTGGTGTTCTCGAACGTGTTGACGCGCAACGGCGCAGTGGACATGAGCTGGAGCTCTCAGTTTTTGTTGGGCCTACACGAACCCGTACGCCATGCTCTTTTCGTGATTGATCGATTCTTGGAGCGCAGCCGCGACTGGAAGTCGCCAATGAACTGGAACGTGCGCGAGTTCTTCAGCTGGTTCAAGCTGCACTTTGTGGAGTTTGTGCGCAGCCAGCGCGAATTGAAGACGACGGTGCTCCTTCCGCTCGTGGTGATCAAGTTTGGAGCGAAACGTGACATCTTTGCACTATACGAAGATGTTTTTGCACTGATGGACGTGGTCGTTGCGCACGAGGATGGCTTGCTCTTGTCGGCGGCGTCGTCAGCAGGTTCATGGACGGCTTGCTTGGGTCTTCTGCAAGACGACATTCGGCGTCTGAACCACTTGCTCCTTAATGTGCTCGCACGAGAAGAGGAGACGTTCAAGCCCGCGATTGAACTCGCATTTTCCGAGAAAGCGTTCGAGCGATATGTCATGCCGCGGATCTTCCGTGCGATGCGACCGAAGCGTGTGATGGTGCCGTGGATCGTGGAGAGGAGCCGTGTGTGGGGCGACAATAAGGTCGCGAAAGCGTACAAGGACGAGTTGTCATTGACAGCCCGGTTTCTGTATGAACACGTGTGGCACCCGTACTTCAAACACAATATCGCATCGGCCATGAAGCACTTGGACAACGACGTGGAGGGTATAGCTGCCGCAAAGGGCGCGGACGAGTCTTGCTTTGGGTGCATAGTCATGTAAGAGAGAGAGAGAGAGAGAGAGAGTCTTGTACAAAAGCCTCGCGGCGCTCTATAATATACTGTCGGACGTTGATGTTCGTTTGTACTTGCAGTTGTCAAAGTGCATACCGATCGATTGTCTTGGAATACGACAACGTGGCATGTCCTTAAGCTAAACAGTTATGGATTACGCTCTCTTTGCTACGAGATCGTTGTACATGTCGAGCGTGTCGTTTCGCCCCACGTCGGCCTCGTCTCGACCCGTTGTTGTTGTTGTTGTTCTACTTGTTGGTGGTCGGATTCTATGTGCATCCACATCACTCAATGTCGGACACATCATCTGCCTGCGACACGGGCGACAGTGGCCCAACGAGTGGCAACAGAACGACCCAAGTGGTCGGTCAGCAGGAAGCAGCAGCAGCAGCAAAAGTAGCAGCAGCAGAAGCAGAAGCCGTCGCGTTCGTCGTGCAGACTTTCGTCTCAACCAGTGCCACCGAACCCGTCCACGAGTGGACCGACACGCTGCTCCAGGCGGCGGTAATGGCCACAAACCATAACCACCCGACGCGTCCACTCGCCCGCCCGCCGTCGTCACCCGTTGCAACCGTTTCAACAACCACAACAAGTCGCGCGAAAGCGTCTGCAGTCGAAACAACTGCTTCGATGTGCATACTGTCCGACTCTCACATGGCGCGTGACACACGGAACGAACTCACCACTGCCGCTGCCGGTACGAATCACGAGGCGTTGCCGTCTCTGCAGTCCATAGCACCCGCAGCCGCTCGCAAGCGCTACCAACGTCGACGATGCCAAGTCAACGGGTGCACCAAGTTCGCTCGGTTCAACAATGCGTGCTCGGGACATGGCGGCAGACGGCTCTGTGCCGAGGCCGAGTGCGCGCGGGTGGCGCAGTTTGGCCACAAGTGCAGCGTCCACGGCGGCGTCAAGCTGTGCCGCGTCGAGGGCTGTGTCCGCGGCGTGCAGTCGCGTGGCCGGTGCAAGACGCACGGCGGTGGGGTCCGGTGCCAGTTTGCCGACTGCACCAAAGGGGCCATTTCGAAAGGGTTTTGCCGCTCGCATGGCGGGGGCGCGCGCTGTGCTGCGCCAGAGTGTAACAAGTGGGCGCAGCGTCACGGCTTCTGCGTGCGGCACTCGAAGGGCAGCACTCGAGGAGTTGCAGGGGAAGCAATGGCCGAAGGCAAGTCGGACGCGTGCCCTCCAGTGCAACAAGTCGAGTTAATTGCTACTGACTGATGGACGGACCAACGGACTGGCCAAGTGGCCGACTGACTGACTGACTAATGGACTGACTAATGGACTGACTAATGGACTGACTAATGGACTGACTAGCGGACTAATTGGCAAAGGGACTGACTGGCGAAGTGGCTGATGGACTGGGGGGAGTTGCGCTCGGAGTGAGCAGTTGGGCCGTTCGAATCGCAACGCGAACACACTCGTTTTTCGAACGTCGACACGAGGCGCACTTGTCCACGTAGCAGCTCGTCGGACGTGACGTGTGTGGAGAGACTTAGGTGTGTACCACACCACTGCACGCACGAGCGGATCAATGGACGTGAGCGCCCGTGACCCCGTCCATCTCACTGCGTTTGCCGCGCAGTGCGTCCAAGACAGTCGCTTGGCGCTGTTTACGCCAGCGTCTATTCACCTGCTGTCGTCCATTGCCGTGCACCGAGAGACTTGTAAGAAACGACAGGTGGACCTATGGTGCTGGTGTGGTAGAGGTAGTGCTAATGACTGGTAGAGGCAGTGGTGCTCATTCTTGACGTGTGTTGCAGTGGTCGAGGTTGCATGCAAACCCCGATCGAATGGCTGCTACTGCGGCAATGACGTTGCAAGACAGAGCGTCGAGTTGAAGTTTGGCGACTTTGTCGACTACTACCAAGCTGGTGCGACTCGAGAGCACTCGCACTGGCTACAGACGGTCGATGATCTGGACTTTTACTTGGCCCAGTGTCCCATTGCAGTGCGGAACTCTAGTGCTACTGCAGGCACGAAGGCCGTGCTGCCTGCTGTCGCGAACGATGTCTGCATGTAAGAGGCAGTTTGTTGCAGTGGCCGGGATTCTGTGGTCCGTGGTGTAACACTGGCGTGTTGTGCTAGACCCGCGTGTCTTGGTGAAACGCATGTCACCCAAGTCAATCTGTGGATGACTGTGCAACCCAGTCGGACAGCGCTGCACTATGACGCGTATCACAATGTCCTGGTGGTCCTGTATGGGCGAAAGATGGTCACGCTGTATCCTCCATCAGAGACTGCAAAGATGTACCCGTTCCCTGTGCACAGCAAGTCGGTGAATCATAGCCGAGTTGATGCTGTCCAGCCGGATCTCGCAAAACATGCACGCTTTTCCGAGGCACCGGCACAGCAATTTACTGTCATGGCTGGAGGTGCAGTACTTGTTACGTGGTATTGGTGGCTTCTTCTATCGCGCATAACAGCGTTATCCTCGTTCTGTTGCAGACGCGCTTGTGATTCCAGAGGGGTGGTGGCACAGGGTCGACTCGGACCAGTTTACCATTGCGGTCAACTACTGGTGGAATGGCGTGAGAGAGCAGCTCGTAGCGGACAAGCGCATGGTGCCTTATTACGCTCGCGTCATGCTCGAAGAACTAGTTGCGCAGCAATGTGAAGCGCGCCTTTTGGCTTTTCGATCTTCGTCTGGGACAGGCAATGCCAAAATTTACGAAGACGAGGGCGAAGCGGTGGCTGCATTTTTTGCGGCAGCCGATCAAGTTTGTCGTGAACAGGTGATGTTATCACTGGAAAGCAGAATGTTCCTGAAGATGCAAGAATATCTAGCAACGAACCACGCAGCAGAGTGGCGGAGATTGCTTGCGAACGCAAGTGTGAACTTGGCGGCTGCGCTAGCAAAATGCTGGGAAAGTGATGACTCGGAACCTGGTGTCGTTGGCAAGCTGTTTGTTGCGCTTGGGGATGAGGAAGAATCGATCAAAGAGACGGTGGCCACGAAGCAAGCGCAGTTTCGCCAAGACTGTGCCTCTGACATGTATCGGTCTCTGTTTGGCTAGCGTCATTCATTGTTGAGTATCACGAGGCCATATGCGAAGGAGTGCGGTATTGGAACAGGCGCGATAGCTACGAGATACGGGTAGGAGTTAGACGTGCCGCAAAGTGGCGATGTTGCGGGGCACCTGAAATATTCGTGCGGCAGTGACGACTATGTGTGGACACAGCATGCTGAATGCTCGAGTTCCTTTGGACTTGACCGATTGTGCCTGTTCGATGCATATGCCACATCAATGGTCACGGATGCTTTGGTGAAGGCGTGGTAGAAGACCACGAGTCTATGAGGTCAGAAGTGAGAGCGTCTGGACAGGACAGCAAAGAAGGAATTGATGGTCAGGGATCTGGGCACGACGCCAGGCACTATTTCGTGGTTTTTACACGCTGACGTGGCATCCCATTATCTCGCATTGGACTGTACAGTGGACTGGCAGTTTCGATTGAAAGCACCATTCCTTTCTTGCACGTGTCGCGCAAGCCATTTTGAGTGTCAAGTAACGTCGAAGTCGCGTGTGCCGATCTAACGTTGTCAAGTCACGTCGTAGACATGGACGATACTTGTTTGCATAAGCTCCCCCGCAGCAGGCTGCCCTATCGGCCACTAGATGAGGCACATCGTCGAGTCAATATTGACGCCAATATCTCGTTGGTTGACAGGAGTAGTGTGACACCAATATCCCAAGAGCTTTACATAAGCAGTGTAACAGGACCTCGCAGGCTACCGATGATTAAGCAAAGCGTTGAGTCGTTTTCGTCGCCGAGATCTCGTTGGTTTACATTGGCGGGTAGTGCGTGCAACGCTTTGTCCGAACCAGCGGCTGCAACATATAGGTACGTGCAACGCGATCGCACGTCGGGAGAAAGATAGAGCCGATTTGAGTACGCTAGTTGCACAACAGTGCGGGTGGACGGACACTGCTGATTACGAGCGCAAACACTCGTACTCTGTATTTGATTGCGTCGAACGTACGATCATGAACGAATTCGAGCGATCGGCAGTTGGCAAAATGAAACGTCGCGAATCGGAGTAGACGACATCCGCCGGATTACGTCTTTGGGCATAATCCACGAGGGCCAAACGAAGTGTTGACGATACGAATTCGATGTTGCGTTCAAGAAAGGGGCGTACAGATCGAGTGACAGCTGGTGCATTGAGGGGAGCCAGTTGAACCTCACACCGGCGCATCGTCAGCGCGTCGGCTGAGACCTTTGATACCGCTACGGCGACGTCATGCCTTGTAAGTCCGTTCTCAATGAGTTACAACAAAACGCAAAGCAGCCGCGAGCAGAGGGTTGGACGTAAGCAGAGCATACGTTGATGTTGGTAAGCATCTGAGAGCTGTGCAAACATTGCAAGTGAACTGCAGACATGTCTTTTTTCTGACGCTTCAATGACCTCTGAAGGTTGGAATGTTCAAATGTCTGTAATTGTGCTCACAAGAAGGATCAGCATACGCTTGTGCTCGCTTTCGTTCTCCGTCGATCTACAGTTGCAAAGCACAATGAGCGTGACTTGTGTGGGTCGGCGCACGCAATACGCTACGATGTTTGTAATGTTTGCTACTGGTAGAACCTACATTTCTCGGTGCTTGCGGATACCGGTGCGCACGATTCCTCATGATATGCATTGTAGCCCGACATCTCAAGCTCACTTGCTGATGCCAACACGCTCTGCTCGTCTGGTCCACCAGCAGCTATTGAGCGCTCTTTATCGGCAGTCATGCATCGTATGCTGTCGTGTTTGCAGCAGGAAACTAAAAGATGTGACGTGTATAGCGTCCTATGCTGCGAACGCACTTCCTGTCAAAGAGAGAACGCTCACTCACATTAGTCCAAAAGCCACAAAGCACGACTGCCCAGTTCGTTTCATGCATTGCGGACAAGATCGTTGCACTCGATCGAGGCTAGTACATCGATATACCGTCACTTGGACCAGCTTTAGTGCTGCTGAGGTAAGCAATGTTACATCTTCGAAGCGATTGTCGAGTGGAAGGTTGAAAACTGGATTGCGCTTGCTTCGTGCAGTAGAGTTTAGTGAAGGCTTGAAAGACCTGTACGATGATGCCGGATAGAAGCGACGGACTTTCATTTCATAGAGCTTGTAGCACACGCAAAAAGCGGGGAGGGGGTGCTCTGGTCGTAAGTTTTTCGTTTACGAACTCTGCGGTCGGACGTAGACTCGATCGGGCTGCTTGTGCCAACATAGGAGACGACTCCGATCATACCGGATAGAAGCAGGATGCAATAGTATGGTCAGTCACAAACATAACACTTGCCGGGTAACGCGATACACAGAGCACATGTAGATGCGATCAGTACCGCGAGAGGCCAAAGTGCAGTACAAAAGCGGTCAAGATAGAACGACTGTCGCATTCAGAATTATCGACGATTGCCACGTATTGAGCCTAACGCCATTTGCAAAGTCACGTAAGCGAGTCGATCGCCCATAGGATATCGACTCCTTTGCCATATGAAAACGGGCAAGACGTCCAGACCTGCTTCCTCGAAAGTCAAGACGAGGGCTGTGCATTCTGCCGCTAACCATTTGGCTGATACTGACTTCGTATCGTGTGGGCCATGCGTGAGCTACAATGGAGCCATAGCAAAGGACAATCGCACAGAACATCGAAACGGATGTTCACAGGACGTTCTTGGTTCCCAACATACCCCAAACGAGTGTGCAATGCTTGGTCGGAACAAGGTAGGCTTAGTCTGGTCGAATGGGCTCTTACATCTCGACTCGAGGTGCGCATTCAAAGGATCTTCCTGGACGTCCTGCTCTGCTGCTACTTGCGCGCTTGGTGAAAGGCGAGACCAGAACAACACGACTTAAGATACGCTTTCGATATGGCGGCTTCTTACTTCAATTGATCCACCGAGACTTCCCATACGACGGGTGGATAAGACGACCGCTGCATCATTGTAGACAACGTCGTAGTCAAGTCACGTCGTATAGGTGCATCGGACTGTCTCCGTCGTCCGTATGTAGTGGTTCAGTAGCGCAGCAACAACAACAATGTGAGCTTGCATTGACGACAAGTCACTGTATTCGACGCACGAATTGTTTGCTATTGATATCGCTGCAGCCGAAGGGCCACAAGCGAGAGCGAATAGAAACGCACACTTGCAAACGAGCATAGCGAGCAAAAGTAGACCATACACGCGTCCATCTCGACGCAGTACGTTGAGGATACCAACAGGTAATAATCATCTTTACAATGTTCATGATGTCCCTAACGAACATCCGTCCGTTCGCTGCGTCACTCTATTTTGTTTATCGAGACAAAGTGACGACAACTCTCAAGGGCAACGCTCGAGCCAAATAGAACCCCACGCGCGTTCATTATCTGCGAGAGACACAAGATACCGTCCTGTATTCGACTCGTGACTACATCCTCTAACGGATCGTCTATTACCGCAGCAAAAGCCACCTGCTGCTGACAATACCAGCTGCTGACAATACCAGCTGCTGCCTTTTAGCTAGACCTACAACTCACGTCGCGCAACCTACAAAAACCAGCACACGATCAACGACGCAATTCTAGTCCGCTCGCTACAACAACGCCCAGTACTCCTCGTTTGTGGTTTCCAGACTGGACGTTGCGACATTTCTGTGTCGCAGTTCCCACCGTACACAATATAGCGCCCACGCGCCCGCCCCTTCACCGGCTCGAAAAGTCGGTTCACACCCCACCGGTCAGTCGCCAAACAGAGTCACGAGTCGATCGACCGATCGCATACCGCCCACGACCTCATGCGCGGACGACGCTGCGTGCTGCTCGGCGTGCTGGCCGCGCTCGTGTCCCTCCTACACTCGCAGTCCTCTCTAGTGACTGCTGCCCCCGTCGATGGCGTGATCATCGTGCGTGGCCACAAGCTCTACAATGCCAAGACCGGCGAGCGGTTCTTCATCAAAGGCGTGCGTGGCGGTCGGCCGTGTACTGAATTGATTGTCGCATGTGTGTGTGTCATAGGGGGCTCTAATTTTGTGGAATTGTGTGTGTGTTTGTGTATTGTGTCTGGCACCTGGGAAAATACCGGTATTTCGTCCGTCCAGCTGACCTACGAGTACGCCGTGAGTGACGAGTACTATGACAAGTACTCGAAGGCGACGATCGAAGAGAACCTCGCTGGTCTCAAGTACAACACGCTGCGTCTGTACAATATCAACCCCGAGGCGTCGTATGTGAAGTTCATGGCCGACATGGCCAAGCTCGGCGTCTACGTGATGGTATCGGCCTCGCCGGATAACGACGTGTACTATGGCAAATACCGGTACTCGACGATCACCAAGAAATTGAGCTGCACCGGTAAAGTCTCGTCCAACGATGGCGGGGCCAAGACCGTGGACCAGACTGAGACGTGTTATCCGGCGCTACTGCTCGAGTATGGCAAGAAGATTATCAAGAACTTTGCCCAGTACGACAATACGTTGGGTGTCGTCGTGGCCAATGAGATCATGCAAATGGACTTGACGTCCGCGTCTTGCGTGAAGGCGTACGTGTCGGACCTCAAGACGTGGATGGCAGTGAATGGCAAGAAGTTGCGCCTCTTGCCGCTCGCTTATGCAGCTGCAGACAGTAGCACGGACCAGGTCTCGAATGCCGACGAGTACCACGTGATCAAGGTCCAGGGGCTGTTGTGTGGCGACAAGATGATCAACGGCATGATGGCCAAGAGCATTGACATTTACCTGATCAACGAGTACCGCTGGTGTCCGGACTCGACATTTGCCGAGGCGTACAAGCGCTACATTGACATGGCGCAGGGCATTCCGATCGTCGTTGCGTTTGGCGAGTACGGCTGTAAAACGTCTGCTTCGACTCCTCGCGATTGGGGCATGATCCCTTACATGTACGAAGTGCCGTCAAAAACGGAGCAGTTCACGGCAGTGTGGTCGGGTGGGCTGGCCTATTCGTATGGCGAGGCAAAGCTTGGCAAAGACTCGCTGTTCCCGATGTTCAAAGGTGCTTTGCGTACATGTGCATACGCTTTTATTGCGTCCGTTGTTTGCTTGCATGGCGTGACTGACGTTTTGTCGTTCATGTGCAGGCGGAAGCACGGACTTCCTGTCGACGCCTAGTTCAAAGCCGTTGGTGGATTACACGAACTTGAAGGCTCAGTTTGCCAAGTACTCGGGCTTTAAGGACGATGCAAAGTGGACGGACAGCACTGTGTGCTCGTGGAAGCCTACGTTGGAAACGAAGACACAGCCTTCGAACAAGATAGCGTCAAAGTACGGCTGGATCGTGAACAGCTGCACTTCGAGTAACTTGAAGCTCGCCAGCACCGACTCGTGGGTCTGTTCGAGCCGCGAAGGTGTGGTCTGTTCAGACGATGGCAGTACGTGTGACGTGGCCCTGAGCGGCAGCCTCGGTACGACCCAGGAAGACATTTGCGGCACGTACGAAGTCGTGAGTGGCGGCGGGACGTGTGAGACAACGACGGACTGCGGTGGCAACGGGCAGTGCAAGGAGTCGAACGGCACAAAGTCGTGCAGCTGCCTGTCGTGCTACACTGGCACGGATTGCAGCGTGCGAGACATTACCTCGTGCGCGACGCTGAGCAGCTCGGACTCGGCTCCTCACATGATTTTTGTTGGCGTCGGTGTGTTCTTGGGCGTCATGCTGGTGGTGTTCATCGCCCTCGGCGTTGCAGCAGCCAAGAAGAAAGCTGGTACGTGTCTTGCCACTGGGCAGTTGACTGCTTTCCACTGGGTGGTTGACCGACAACTCGTTGCATGTCTAACGCGTGCGTGACGTACTCGTGTGCTCGGAGTGTAGAAACCAACAAACTGGCGCAACAAGTGCGAACCGACGTGAATAGCCAAGCGACGGCGGACACTCTCTAGGACTGCAACGGTAGCTCTCCTGTCGAGCAGTGCAGCACATGCACTTGGCAGCCCCTACATGTCGTATTCCAATACAGCTGGCAAGCTAGCACCCCTGCCCAGCTCTGCATGCTTTGGACCCTCTATGTGCTCTCGCTCCCTCCCTCTATCTATCTATCTATCTATCTATCTATCTATCTATCTATCTATCTATCTATCTATCTATCTATCTATCTATCTATCTATCTATCTATCTATCTATCTATCTATCTATCTATCTATCTATCTATCTATCTATCTATCTATCTATCTATCTATCTATCTATCTATCTATCTATCTATCTATCTATCTATCTATCTATCTATCTATCTATCTATCTATCTATCTATCTATCTCTATCTATCTATCTATCTATCTATCTATCTATCTATCTATCTATCTATCTATCTATCTATCTATCTATCTATCTATCTATCTATCTATCTATCTATCTATCTATCTATCTATCTATCTATCTCTATCTATCTATCTCTATTTCTGGTCCAATAGACGGTGTCTGTCTATCCCACACCTCGTCGAGCGACCCGTTCGCTTGCGGTGCTTTTTTCTGATTCGTCATCGCGAATAGGGTTCACCACCTCCTCCGGCTCACGCGCACCAGTCATTCGCCATACGCCATTCCAGCGATGCCGCCAAAAGGAAAGAAAGCCGAAGAGGTACGTACGTACGTCGCGCCCCGCCCTCTCTCTCTCTCTCTCTCTGTCCCTCTCTGTACATGTGTGTGTGTCGCATTCACGTGACAGCTGCCTCCCTGTCCCCTATTCCTGCTGACACTGCCGTCTCTATTGTCCATCTGCAATAGCCCACGCGCACGTATCTCGGCCGCCCGGGCAACAACGTCAAGATCGGGATCGTCGGCGTCCCGAACGTCGGCAAGAGCACGTTCTTCAACTGCCTGTCGAAGCTCCACATCCCGGCCGAGAACTTTCCCTTCTGCACGATCGACCCGAACGATGCCGTCGTCCCGCTGCCGGACCAGCGGTTCAATTGGCTCGTGGACAAGTACCAGCCCACGAGCGTCGTGCCGCCCGTGATGTCGATCACGGACATTGCCGGTCTCGTCCGGGGCGCAGCCGAAGGCGCTGGGCTCGGCAATGCCTTTTTGTCGCACATCCAGGCGGTGGACGCGATTTACCACATGGTGCGGGCGTTCGACTCGACCGAAGTGACGCACGTTGAAGGCAATGTGGACCCCGTGCGGGACATGAAGATCATCCAGGAAGAACTGCGGCTCAAGGACATTGAGCGCGTCAAGAAGGAGTCGATCGGTGTCAAGAAACTCGCCGAGCGCGGGGTGGGCGGCAAGGAGAAGAAGCTCGAGTACGACGCGCTGTGCAAGATCCAAGAGTGGCTCGAGGCCGGCAAAGACGTGTCGTTTGGCTCGTGGTCGGCCCAGGAGGTGGAGATCCTCAACACGATGCAGCTGCTCACGGCCAAGCCCGTGGTCTACCTCATCAACGTGAGCAAGCGCGACTACTTGCGCAAGAGCAACAAGTACTTGCCGCAGATTGCCGAGTACGTCAAGGAACGCGGTGGCAACGAGCCTGTGGTTCCGCTGAGCTGCGAGTTTGAGCTCGAGCTGCTGGACCTCGAAGCTGCTGGTCAGCTCGAGACGTACACGAAGGAGAACCCGACGCACAAGTCGGTCTTGAACCGCGTGCTTCGCATGGGGTACCAGGCGCTCGGGTTGGTCCACTTTTTCACGGCTGGGAAGGACGAAGTGCGTGGATGGACCATCCGCAAAGGCCGATTGGCCCCCCAGGCGGCTGGAGTGATCCATACGGACTTTGAGAAGGGCTTCATCATGGCCGAAGTGCAGGCGTTTGCCGACTTGAAAGAGCGTACGTGCAGCGACGTACTTATTTGCAGGAGCTGTGGCAGGGATCGAGTTGACGTTGTGTGTATGTGCGCGTCTTGTTCTCTGCTTTGCAGTGGGAACCGAAGAGGCGGTCAAGAAGGCTGGCAAACTCAAGCAGCAGGGCAAGAAGTACGAGGTCCAAGACGGCGACATTATATTCTTCAAGTTCAACAACTAGACGGGCGCTCGTGGCTTGTCGGATGGTGCTGAAGGAGTCGGGTAGCTGCAGTCACTAATCCATTGCTTAATTCCATGGCGATGTGTGAATGCGTGCGTTGACTTGCAGCTGTCGCTCGTGTCTACATGGTGCCGGTGGAGAACGCAGTTGCTGAGCAGTCTCTATGCACTAACACTCGTGTCGTTTTCCACACTTGTGCTGGATGTCGCCCAAAGTCTGTGTGTGTGTGTACTTGTTAGGCACGGGGCGTGTCCTGCGAGGAAGGACTGAACGGTACACGGTCTGTGGTCTGGTCGAGTGTGTATGATCGTACAGTCTCTTCAGTGACAGCTTGACTGCTTTTACGGCACCGGACGATATATGAAGTCGTCACCAAGAACGAAAGGTGCTCGAACGCGGATAGAATGAGCACTTGGTGCTGGAAAATGTCCGACTAAGCAGCAGCTTGTGATCTTGGCACGCTGAATGCTATCATGAGGCTGAAAGGTACGTTGCGTGGACGTATTGTCGTGGCGGACCGGAAGACAATCCGAACTCGCTACAATGTGTGCTATTGCCAGCCACTGCAGGGCGACAGAACGCGTGGATGCCGCCAATGCGAAATGGTATCATCGCGCAAAGTGCTGTGGGCGCTCTTTTTTCATTCGAAAACGACTCACGACCAGAAGTGTCTTCGCGCTTGAAAGGTATTGACGACGGACGCAGTACAAGTGGCTGCGAGGGCAGTCGATCTGGCAGTGCTCATCGATCTGAGACTTTTCAACGTGGCTCGAACTTCGCGCCTTCCGATCCAATAGAGTAGTGGCCGCGCAGAGCTAACTTCAGCAAAACGAGTACGTCGTCACTGGATGCTGACGCGGGCTGTTCGGCATGACGTGAAGAGGGCGACAGGACCGTGACAATTGATGGAGGGGACGCTATCAATCGAGCCGAGAAGAGGAGGGGACGAGACATGGCATTATCGACACTTGGGGAGCACAATGCCTCATGGTTGTTCACGTGCTTGACGTGGATGCCAGGTGTCCGATGGCGTTCGTGGTAATAGTGCTGCAGGTATGCAAATATGTGTGAACGCGGAGTGACTCGGAATGCACTTTGCCGCTCCCAAATCAAAGAGGGTCTGGAATGGTTCAGCTCTGTATTGTGCAATCCATGAGGGACGCGATGACAATGTGGTTGCTGGACGAAGTGCATGGACGCAGAGCGTTTTGCAGTGGACAAAACCTCTTGCTAAAGCCACGAAGCTGGTCCCCCACAAGTCGTTGGTCAAGTAACGTTCCAACATGGCAAAACGCCACAAGCAGCTTGTCCAGTAAATGGGCGGACGATGTCGCTGGCGGAGCGGTGTCACGCTGCTTCGTTGCACCATTTTCGTTCTGGCTACCGGGCCGTCCAGCTTCACAGGCTACACGACGGCATACCTGCAGGTCCCACGTGTTGCAAGCGGTACGCGCCGCTTGACCCAACGAACTCGGACAAAGCCCAAACAACACCACACCGATCATGCGTCCTCTGGTCGTGTTATTCTGGCTTGACAATCGCGCTTTCGTGCGGTGGCTCGTACTCGACGCTGCTCGCTCGACGTCGAACGGTATGAGACCAAAGCTACACCGCCAGCAAGACGCAGTTGCATGCTGCATTATCGTGAAGCCAACGAGTTGTGGGACTGCACTACCGACGTGTAACCCATCTTCCACGGGCACCTGCGTCATAGCTTCAACCGTGCAGAAGGCCAGTATCCCGCATGCGTCTTCTTTCCATAGTCACATGCACACTTTGCCTGGCAGTCGATTGCGAGCGCACCAAGTGCATGCAACACGACGTCGCGCTTGTCTTCCACCTGGCAAAAACCGATCACCAAAACTCTTCCGCGCTCGTCGAGCAGCAGCAGCAGACGTCTCTGTCTGTCTATCCACGAGAAGTACAACACACCGTTTACAACAAGCGAAACAGGCAAAAAGCACACCACAAGCACCGCCTCGGCCCTCACCTCTCTACGTGGTCCTCGAACCGTGTTCACTCGCGTCCCTCTTCCCATCCTCCGTCACCTGTTCCTCTTGCTTGTCCTCTTCCTGTTCCTTCTGCAGCGCCAGCATCTTTTCCAGAAAACTCCCGTCGTTTGGAATCTCGGGCACGCCGCCTGGCGTCTCCAGCACCGGCACTTTCTGCTCTGCACTCGCCTCATTCTCGTTCGCCTTTCGCCCGTCTGAGTCGCCTCCCATGGCCAGTGCTTTGGCTCGTTCTTTGCGTCGTCGTCGCTTGGCCGCGCGTTTCTCGGCCTTGGCTTGGAACTCCTCGGCGTTGCGCTTGCGCCTCTCTTCAAACTCCTGCTGCGCCTTGTTCTGCTTGTACCGCTGCTCCATAGCGGCAACGCGCTCCATCTCACTGTGTCAAAAACACCGCCCACACCGGTGTCAAAAATAGACCCCGTTCCCATTGTTGACCAACATCGTCCACGTCATGCACGAGGGCCTGGTAAGTACACAACGGGTCGTTGACGACGCATGTAACACAGCTCTGGCCCTACGTACCGTCTCCGCGACGCCCGATACGTGTGAAAGTCTCCGCTACCAGCGCCTGCGCCGCTGCCAGAGACATTATCGACGCGCTTGACACGAAGACCCGCCGCGTCCTTTGCGTCGTGAGTGGGCGCGGCGCTCGCGTCCGACGGCGCAGACGACGTCGTGGCTGCCGACGCATACGGCACCGCAGCTCCCTGTGCGTCCTGGTCGCTGAACGTCTGCGTTGTCGTGTAGCGGCCCATGGCAGAGAAGGAGCGCCTCGATCGGTCCCGAGTCCTCTTTTGACGTCACGAATCGAAGCGTCGAGAGTGTCAAAAAGTGAGGAATGCGCAGGTGGTATTGTTGACGGTTTCCGTTTTCGACAGCTTGAAAAGAGGCGAGACACATTTGTTTTCGACCAGCTTGAAAAGAGGTGGACACATCACGTCTGGATAAGTAAGCAGTCGATCGAGTGCTGCGTCCCTCGGGATCCGGCACTTGATAAAACCCATTTGGGCTGTTGTCTCGTGTCACCCAAAAGCGGTTTCTCGGTCAGCTTCGTGGGTGAGTGAGTGAGTGGGTCGATCGACAGACATAAAGACAGCCACGCGATCGGTGAACGAGTGGTCGCCATCAGCAGCGCCAAAACCTCTTGCCGCCTGACTGCGCACGTTGCCTCTGTGTCTCCCGCTCGCTCTCTCTCGCTGCGTGTGTCTTCTTTCCGTCTCCGCTGGCCGCATCATGAGCAAGATCGCTCTGGCTTCGAAAGTGGCGTGGCACGTGGTCGACGCCAAGGGACAGGTGTTGGGTCGCCTGGCGTCGCAGCTCGCGCCCATCCTGCGCGGCAAGCACAAGCCCACGTACGCGCCCAACGTGGACTGCGGGGACTACGTGGTGGTGCTCAATGCCAAAGACATTGTGCTCACGGGCAATAAGTGGAACAACAAGTTGTACCGCTGGCACACGGGCCACCCGGGCGGGCTGAAGCAGCGCACGGCCAAAGAGCTCTTTGCGCGCAAGCCGCAGGACGTCCTGCGCAAGGCCGTGTTCGGGATGCTGCCGCGCAACCGCATGCGGGCGCTGCAGGACAAGAAGCTCAAGATCTTTCTGGACGACAAGCACGAGTTTGCTCACGAGGTGGGCGAGAACCCCGTGATTCTGTAGCGCGACGAACACAGGCGGTGGAGGGGTAGTAGCGGTAGTGGGTACACAAGCACACGAGCGAGCGACGAGCTCCCGTGTCGCTGCTGGATACGCTGCAACTGGATATAACTGACGTGTTCGCTGTCTCTTGTTGCTCTGGTACGCGTCTTTTCACTGGCAGTGACTGCCTCGTTGTAGTAGAGGTCGTTTGTGACGGGGGGGTGGGGGGGGTGTACGTACTTGACAACGTGGTCGTGCCCTCCTCTTCTCTCTACGGCTCACACGTGCGGGGCGAGACCCCAGTTTGTGCGTACGATGCAGCCTGCACGACATCATTGGATGTAATCAGTCAGTAATGAGGCAGTGGATCGAGACGACTTTGTCCGTGTGCTCTTCGTGCGCAGTCGACTGCGTGTCGCTGCAAACGACGGCGTGGTCACGACTGACTCATGCTGACTTGGCTTGAACGCTCACGTACGTACGGCCGTCTGCTTCTTCGTGTGAGCTACGTCCGCAGCGGTCCAGAATAGAGCCAGAGCGTCAGTCGAGATGGCTCGATCCACTCTGGATCCATTGGGCAGACGAGTAAGTATTGGCGACGATGTGGCCCGCTCGCTGCTTTCCAAGCCACGATGGACTCGACAGCGTCGTACCCACACATGGTGTCGAGTCCACATCGCTCGTCATCCGACGTCTGTCTACGCGTCGCACGTGTCTTTCAGTTGCAAGCGAGCCATCGACTCTGCTGCTGCTGCTGCTTTCGTGATCGAACCTCCCTATCCCTTCAGCTAATGCCATCACCTGACGACTCGACGACTCGAGGGGAACGGCATCCACGACGACGCTCCGTCTACTCGTAGCCCAAAGGCCATCTTCACCACAAACTCTCTGCTCTAGAAAAATCCATGCGCATCAGCACAGTGTGTCCGCCTCGACCGGTCGGCAGAATCGCTGATCGTCGCTGTGAGCGAGCGAGCCAACCGCACAACAAAGACGTCCGTTCCAGCTCGAGACTTTCCCACACCTTGCGATGCTCTGATTCATTCGCCGGTCACGTACCGTTTGCGATCGACGTTGTTGGGTCGCGTGCGTTCGTGCTCGTTCTACGCCCCCGTCGCCGCGAACGCGACCGAACCGCTGGCGGATAAACCAGCAGCAGATTGTGCGTTCTGTTGCTGGAAAGAGAGGCGAAACACAACGCACTTGTGCAAACCGCTGCAACCTGATGGTCGATGCCAACAGAAGTTGCCGCTTCGACAGTGTCACGGGTGTGGCTCTGCGCGTGCTCATCGCTGCGTCGTGCTACAGCAGCTGCAGCAGCAGCAAATGTAAAGCAGTCCTTGTCTCGACGTCGTGCTTCCACGTGCTACATGAGCTCGTGTGCGCTGTTTCTGCGCGCCGATCCGCATGGCTCTATTTTTTTCTGATTCGTCTCCTCGCAGACGAGAGAAACGGTCAAGTTCTATTTCTGCATCAGCGCTTCTTCGGTCGTTGTGTCTCAGACTGCCACGTCTGCCCCAATTGACGCTATCCGGCAGTACGTACCTAAGTGTGGGTACGCCTGTCAACAACGACGCATGTGTCTCCTCTGACACCGCGTACGTAGCAAGTGATCAGAGGGTTCAGGAGAAAGCGCAGTGTGTGCGTTCGGTACTGGACGGAGGCTCAGTAAAACAGAAAGGAGACCGATCGGATCGAGTCCGCCCGAGAGGGGCTCTGCTCAATGGCCGACTACTGCTGTGCCTCTAGATCGACACTACCTGCATCCACTGCCAAGTTTACCGTTGATCTCGTGTCATGGACTCCAGCGATCGGGAGAGCAAACGAAAGCAGAAGACGTCGACGCGTCGATGATCGCCACTGAGCGTGCGGAATGGCGCGGAACGTGATGAGCCGGAGCCGCACCGTTTCTCGAGTCCGTCGATCTGTTTTGCCGGCAATGTCCACCTCCATTGGCTTTTCGGTCTCTGGCGGGTAGTGCGTCAACAGTCGTCGTAGATGTAGTTGAGCCTGCGCCACGGATGTTGAAGCTGGGCGGCGCACATAAACGATGCGGTAACCGCACGTTATCAGACTTTACTGCGCGCCAAGGCCAGTTCAGGGCTTGCGCGGTACTGCTTCTACTACTGTCCTGCGTGGGTGGAGGTGGGTGGGTGGGTGACTGGAGGTCAAACGAGACGCGGCAACAAGAAATAGACGTGCGACATGTTTCACTGGTAAACGCCAACGACGTTGCCCTGGCTGAACGCATCGAAAAACGGCGCGACTTGGCTACTCTATGGCGCGTCCGCGACCGCGAGCGACTGATGTGACGGAAGCGAGTGGCCTGTCGGCCGCAACGGCACGTTCTGCTCGTGGGGGACGGGGGACGGGGACGGGGGACGGGGACGGGGGCAGCGTCGGCTATCTGGACGGCGTGGCTTCGAGACCAGGGACTTCAACCCTAGCCCTCGTCTCGGCGCTTTCTCGGCTTGTTTATGATCCCAACGTGGACCACAAACGGCAACGTGGGCGTCTTATGGACCTGGGGCTGTACAGGCGATTCGAGGGCTCTCTGGCGTGCGCGATGCAGCAAAGGCGCCACTGCATTATGGTGACGCGCATAGACAGACACCGACCGCCCCGCAGTCAGTCAGTCAGTCAGTTAGACCGGCCGACCACCAGTCAGTCAGTCAGTTAATCGTCCCATCCCGAAACGAGCCGCTCAACGGCCGCTCTGCAAAAAAGCAACGGGATGAGTCCAGCGACTTTGCGCCAATCGCTGTGTCTCCCCTGCGCAAACCGATATCCAGTTCACCAGACCACTCCACTCGTCGGCCTCGGCACACAATCGATTTCGCAGTGCCGAGCCGAGCGGTCGCGTCGCTCACTTGCACAGAGGAGAGACCGACTGACTGCCCCTCTGGCCCTCTGCTCGACCTCTCACCGCGCCGACTTGCGCGCTCCACATGGCTCGCAGACGCCCGCGCCTGTGGCATCAGCCAGACAGCGACAATTCCATGGCGACGCCCGAGCGGCCGAGCAAGAAGAAGGCGGCGTGCAAAGGCCGGCGCAAGTCGCTCGGCTACGACAACCCGAGTATCTCGGCCGACGACGAGGAAGTGGACGAGACGTTTGTCGCGCTGCAGAACCTCTTGGACGCACTCAACCGCACTAACCGCAGCACTACCAGCAACAGCAACAGCGGTAATACCAATGGAAGCGGTGCCGGCAGTAGTAGCCACGCGCCGAATGTCGGAGCGAGTACCGATTCCGACAGCACTCATCTGCCGCAGCAGCAGCGCCTCTCGCGCGAAGAAATGCTCGAGAGCCGACGACAGGAGCGCGACCGCTTCCGCCGCTCGCTGTTTACGAAGAGCAACACGAGCAGCGCGTACAACTCGCGCCGCCGACGGACGTGTCCCGCGTACGGCTACTCGGAAGACGAGGACGAGGACGAGAGCCAGGCGCCGTCGGTCGAGAGCACGATCTCGAACCGCTTTATGAACGGCTCGTTCTCGACGCTGAACGTGCACGTGATCTCGCGCAACCGCTGGTCGACCGAAGACCGCGTGGTCGAGCGCCTGCCGATCGTGATGCTGCCCAAGAGCGGCAAGTTTTCCATTCCGACGGACAACCAGCGGATTGGTGTGGTCCACACGGACGAGTACATTGACCTGCGCGACAAGCTGGTCGAGAACTTGCCGCCGGGCGCGTCGCTCTTGCACTACCTCACTCCGCCGCGCTCGACGTGGTACATGCACATGCACGACTTTGAGGCGCTGCAGTGCTGAGCAGACGGACGGCAGCTAGCGCTCGAGGCTGGCGCATTGACGCGAGGAACGACTGGAACGCTGTGACGGCCACACTGCTCGGTTGCAAGAGCGGCGGGCGCGGGCGCCGTACATACAGCGTGTGCCCATCGTGTCGCAGAGGAAAACGAGCGAAGTCGAAGCTCGAAGGGACGTGAAGCCACGTGTCGAGTCCCGCTAGAAATCGCGCATGGAAGGAGAGTGTATTCTTATTTATCGTGGCGCGGAGGGACCGACCGACTGTCTGTTGTGAATACATTGATGGGGAACATGCAGGTGTTGAGTGAGTGGGGTGTCGAGCGCGGTCTTCTCCTCGTCTTGTCGTCGGTCTTGTGAGGCTCTCACCAGCCCAACTCGTCGTCTGACTCGGCTAATGCCTCGCAGTAGGGAGTCGACCACCTTCGTCTACAGCTCGTCGACAGGCGCGAGACTCGCGCGGTACTTTTCGTACGTGACGAAGAAGACGATGCACCACGGCGCTTTTCGCATCCAATTGGGGACAAAGCCCATGTAAAAGGCACTTGCGCCTCCTTCGCGAAAGGTCTTTCGGATGCAGTCGCGCATGCCGTTGTAATACAGTCCTTTGCCCCTTGCGTCCGTTGGTTGACTCATGAGCCGCGTCTTGACGACGTCGATCCTGCAGATGCACCACCAGCGCCACCGCCAGCAATTGCAACAGCAGTCGCCGCCGCCCCACCGAAAGACACCGAAAGACAGAGAGAGAGACAGTGGTCAGTCGTCGACGCTGCTCTTCCCACCGAGCAAATCGAAAAAGCACTGGGGAAGACAAGTCGGCCCACGTACGGATTAGACGCCGTCGCACCCGCCAGTCCGGCCACGCAACTGGCGCTCGTGTGGGCGAGTCCGCCCTCGTCCAGCAGTCCCGACGCGACCAGCAGTTCCTTCGTGTGGTCGTACGTGCTCAGCTCTGCAGCATTGACGATGAACCCGCGCTGGATATTCGGCGGCATGCCACGAAAGAAGCCACGCACGCCCTCCCGCTGGTAAATGGTGCAGAACGCGTCCGCCACGCCGCGGTACATCCTGCCCGAGCGACTCGCCTGCATGCGCACCTTAATCACATCGACACTAGAGAAAGAGGAGACGACGACAGTCGTTTGTTCGTGCCGTCCGTCAGCGTCAGCTACAGATGGGCACACTGACAACACAAGCAGCAGTAGTAGCAATAGCAATAGCAAGACGGCACATCGTCATCGAGCGTACGGGTTGGCGAGACTGATGCCGATGGCGCCAGCGCAGCCGCCGGCCAGGAACTTGTTGACGAACGGCACGTCCGCGTTCGCCCCCGCGTCACCGCGAGCAGTCGCGCCAAACACATTGCGCAGCGGTTCGTAGAGCGCCATACAGATGCTCGTGTACGACACCTGACGCAGCAGCGCAGGCGTCGCGCCGTTCCAGAGCGCGCCAATGCCTTCGTGCCGGACCATCGTCTGGGCCGCATGGATCATCCCATTGTACTGGACGGCGGGTCTGCTGCCGCTTCCCAGCACAGGGCCCCCGTGGTGCTGTGTCTGCAGCCGCACTTTGGTGATGTCGATCGGCAGCGTCAAGAGCTCTGCAGTGGCCGATGCGGCTCCCCCGGCAACAAAGCGCGTCCATTGCGACTCGATTGCTGTGTCCATGTGTATGGGCGCAGTCGCCTGCTCCTCGACGGCGAACGGAGCGGCCATTGTCGGTGGCGCTTGGGGTCGAGAGCGGGAGTAACGTTATTCGTGACATGAACGTTCGCTCGCTTCTGGTCGAGTCCCTGTGGTAGTAGTAGATCCATAGAACTATCGATAGAGCGATCGATACAATCGATGTATACACAGACAGACAGACAGACAGACAGACAGACAGACAGACAGACAGACAGACAGACAGACAGACAGACTGACTGACGGACACGAAGAGACGCGTAAAGATTTGCTTTCGCGTAAAACTGCGCTAAAGACGGACACGAACAGCGAAACGACTGTGCTTTGTGCCGGGATGAAGAGGTTTGGCCACGAGTCATCATGAACAGACGCCTCCGCGAGATTCCCCGCCTTTTCATTGCAGCGGTTCCCTGTGGACCTGCAACGACTGCACTTCAAGCGGCTGAGCTTGAGCTCTTGTCTCTGCAACCAGCTGGGCTGGACGAGCGAGACAAGAGCCATAGCAAACGAAGCTGCAAAGGCCGTCATCAATCGGAGACCGTCGTCCGGTCCTGCTAATTGGAGGTACGTAGCGCCTTCGGTGGCAGTAAGGAACGCTGAATCTTCGTGTCGCATCAGCGAGTTCCTCGACCCTCCAGACACGTGCACCGTCTTCACTGATGATCGCACACACTTTGGACAGTGCGAACTTGAACGCCTGACGATCGGCAGTGGGTATTTGAGTGCGCGACCGTCTCCTTCTGCTGCATTTCCGCGGCTCTTCAGCCACGGACGTAGTCGACGGGTGCGCGCTCGCAGCAGGCGGCACGAAGAATGGGTTGTTGTAAGCAGACTGCTCACAGCTCAACTGAGTTCTGTATCAGTCACATCAGAATGACTAACGTTCTAGCGGATACGCCAACGAAACAGCGCGACCCCGTCCGCTGACATCCTGAACTACTGCCACCCATTCTTCGGACCGGATGAAGCGTCAATAGCATGTGAGGCTTTTGCTGTTGTTCTCGCTCTCTCTCTGTGTGTGTGCGTCAGTGTTTGGCTCGGTGTGCACTGTTGGAAAAGATTTTCTCTCTCGCAAGTGATCGCTATGTATGTCCGTGGCAGACCGATTCTGCGACTCGAGACTTCTCGTGCTTCCAGCACCGCTGCGACAATCAGCGACAACTAGCACTGTAGCGCGGGTCAATGGCATCCTGTGTCTAGTTGACGTCAGTGGCTTGAGTTTGTTGCTCGCTTGAAGAGGCCGAGAGCATTCGCTGTGGTGTAAGACCTCGACTGATTTTGTGGTAATTGGAGCGCTGGACCGCGTAATGCTGGTAGCCTACACCACATACTGGTCGATCCAGCCGCAACGAGATGCAGTCGACAACAGCCGCAGTCACAATCTACGCAATGCGTACTGTCCCTCAGCTGTGCCTGGACCTGGATCAGCCGCGTCCCTTCCGTGACATGCTGCAGCTAGCTAGCCGGTCCTGCGTCATCCATCCAGCAGAGGCTGAATCAGAGATGGCAGCTTTGTGTGGTCGTGTCACATATCGCAGCTACTTGGCGACGACAGTTGCGTGGCCCGGCTATCAACTAGTCGAGTGGCAAGAACCGGCAGACGCTCGCTGCATACACTTTCGATCGAGGCCGTGTCATGAGGACGTCAATGGGTAATGGTTTGGAGTGTTGCAGGTTCAGTTTCGGCGTCCGGGTCGCTGCTGGAGGGCGAATGGCATGTCGACTATTAGGATCACGCATGTCGATGGTTTGAAGAGCTGGTCCGGCTATTGTGATCAATCGACCACATCCTCCAGCATTGCCGACGTATGCAGCAGAAGCTGAAGACTTAGCAAGAGAGTTGTGGCGTTCTCGATCTACGCACCAGTTTGCCTTACGTCATGGCCCTATTTGTCAGAGAGTACGTACGGAACATTCATTTCCCACGCATGCGAGGTTCCGTTGGGTGCGAACCTAGAACGATCCGCCGCAATCTAGCTGAAACATCCAGATATTCGAAGACGCAGAAGCTGGGAAATATCGTCTGCACGAGTTATCCGGATAAATAGGTTGTTCTGGCAGATCGAGCCGCCGACTGAAACGCTGAACTACGTTTCGACGTGCGACAGGACTTCCATCGTTGCAACGGCCGGGAATCAGGTCCTGCACAACGACCACAAATTCCGTGTCGACAATCGACGGACGACCGGTCATTCCCGAGCTCGAGTCCTTCTTGCAAGCGCCTCGAGCATAGCGCACACTTTGGATTTTCCGTTTCGTGGCGGACGTCACCGCAGTGCGAGAGACGGCATGAAATTGAATGACGAGGAAGCGAAAGTCGGGTCACTCGCTCTTGGTCCGAGCAAGCAGAGTGGCCGACCATCACCTTCTCACCCTTTCGGTCGTTCAAGTACGTCCAGCGGATACAGAAAGCGTGATGCATGTCACTGTTGCCCAATTGGCGCGACACCGTCGTCAACACATGAGATGTGAGTCCTCCGTGAGTGCTCCTTTGAAACACAGCATGGTCCCTGTGTCTTATGCCTTTCAGGAGTCCTACCGTTTGACCACTATCTACCCACTGCGTCCCGTGAAAGACGTGCTTGTCGCTGATGACCCACTTCCGCTACGAGCCTATCTCTCGCATCTGCGATGGCGCACAGGAAAGCAGAGACGACGCGAAATGAAGATGCAGCTTTGTGTCGGTCAGGTGGCGCTGTACACGGCGTCTGTGTGTGTACGTCTTTCCTCCTTAGTATATCTGCGACCTCTGGCACTTTCACGCACAGCATCTTTCATCGATTTCTACCTTTGCTTCGCCAATGCGTCGAGCGTCGGCATATGCTCTGGTCGCCCATTATTGCTTCCGAAGCGTAACACGTGCGTGCGTGTGACTAAACGACCGACAGGCGTCCAGTCGCTGCCGACAAGTCGACTTTGTACGCACTCTCCTCAGTAGCTTTGCCCGTCGAGCTCGCGATCATCGACAAGCACTGAACGGTGAGTAGTGGTCTCGACAGTTGCTCGGACGCTTCGACGAGCTGTTGCTCAACGCGTTCGTCGTTTGTGAGAAAGACACAGCGCCAATGTCTGCTTGCGCTACGCAGTCTGCTGCAGCTGAGACAACAGGCTCGCTTCCCACAGTCTGGACGCACGATCGTCTGTACGGTCGACGTCCGAGAACGTGGCAGCCCTAGAGAGAGCGAAACTTGTCGTATCGGTCATCTTCCAGCAGCAACCAAAACGATGTCCCCGCACGATTACCGCGCGCCGCCTCCTGTCCCCAGCAGTCAACTGGCCAGACCGTCAGACATCGCAACAAACAAATCGACACAACCACAAACAAAGAGAACGGCAGACAGACAGACAACGAGAAAGACAGACAGACAGACAGACAGACAGACAAACGTCCGTCCGTTTGTCCGTCGACTCGGTGGTCCAACTCGCGCCACGCGCAAGTGGTCAGACGACAACCACAAAACAACCAGAAACGACCAGTGAAAAGAGAGAGAGAGAGAGAGAGAGAGAGAGAGAGAGAGAGAGAGAGAGAGAGAGACACTGCATTACGCCGACTCCCCGTTTCGAATCAACCACACACACACACACACACACACACACACACACACACACACACACACACACACTCGCGCTCTCTCTCTCTCTCTCTTTTGTCAGTCAGCCAACTGCCACGAACTGATTCTTCCGCTCTCGTCGTCCTACATCGTCCACGAGGAGTCATCGCCAACAACCGATCGATCGACCAATTGATTCCGACAAACCGACAAACCCATCGACCCAACAACCGATCGATCCAACAACCGATCAATTGATCAATTAGTCGCTCACTCGACCGCTCAATTGCTCAATTCGTCGACCAATTGACCACTCGACCACTCAATTGCCCCATTACATTGTGCGCCGCCCATGCGCGCCGTCCTCCTCCTCCGCCTCGCGCTCTCCGCCGCTTCCGCTGTCCGCGCCGCGCCGCCCTCGTTCGGGACGCTCGTCTCCTGCCCCTCCGCCTCGTCGCCGTGTCTCTGGATGGGCGAACACGGCCGCCTCGTGTCCGCCGCCACGCTCCACACCCAACTCGTCCGCCAGTCCCAACAACACCAGTCCCAGTCACCGTCACAGCAGTCCCAAGAACGTCCCAACTCGTCCCCCACCACTGCCACTGCCGCCAACAGCCGCCGCAACCTCCAGACGCACATGGCGTACATCGAAGACGTCCACGTCCTGGCGACACGCGCGGGCCACGCGTTCCCCTACCGCTGGGGCGTCACCACGCGCCACCTGCGCGCGCCACCGCACCGCCGCCTCTCACCCCACGCGCTCGTCACACAGGAGCGATCCTCAGCGCAGATCCGCCGCCGCCTCGTGGCCGCCCAAACGACGACGCCGAACGCTACGACGTCTGCTGCTGCTGCTGCTGCTGCTTCGCGCCGCAATGCAACAACAGACTACTGGAACTGGTGCGACGCGCACAACGCGTTCGGCTACAGCGTCTGCTCGTCGGTCAAGAGTCAGCAGAACTGCGGCAGCTGTTGGGCGTTCGCAGCGGCCGACGCGATCGAGACAGCGGTCGTGATCGCAGAGCACGCGTCGGCCGCTGTCTCGCTCTCGCCGCAGCAGTTCCTGACGTGCAGTACGCTCGCGACGACGCAGACGTTTGCCTATTGCTGGGCGACCGACAAGGGCGTCGACGGCGCCGCGTGGATGGAGCCCGAGATCAAGTGGGAGTCGCAGAACAACGGCTGCAACGGCGGCATGACGCACGGCGCGTTCATTGACGCGGCGCAGAACCACTGGGGGCTCCTCACGGAGCTCGCCATGCCCTACGACGACGCCGTCCCGAGTCTCGAGGCAGCAGCTGCGGCCACGAACGCCTCGTCGGGCTGCGCTGTGGACGCGAACGACACGGCCGCGAGCATCACGGGCTGGGAACAGATTGTCGGCGTCGACTGCGCCACGTCGCGCGACTGCAACGCGCTGCTCCGCACAGCGCTCGAGCGGCAGCCAATTGCAGTGGCAATCAACTCGCAGGACCCGTTTGGCGAGTACGCCGGCGGCTTTTACCGCTGCCCGAACAATGGCGAGTTGGCGTCCAAAGACGACGTGAACCACGCGCTCGTGCTCGTGGGCTACGGCACGGACGCAGTTGAAGGCGACTATTGGATTTTGAAGAACTCGTACGGCAGTGCGTGGGGCGCCAGTGGCTTTATGAAGCTACTGGCCGACACGAAGGTGAACTGCGGGCTCAATATCTTTCCTGTGATTCCGACGGGTGCGTCGGCGGGCGTTGCCGCGACGACGAGTATCGACAGTGGCGGGGCAAAGGTCTTTGTGGGCTTGAGCCCGTCGTCGTGGATTGCAGTTGCAGCGGCTACGACGGCTTTTACAGTCGTGACCACTGCCATTGGCATTGCCGTTTCGCAGCGCAAGATGCACTCGATGCGCAAACAAAAGATGGCAATGCACGCGACGCGAAGAAACGGATAACAAAGTGCCGTGGCGACGTGCATGAGGTTTGTGGTGGTGGTGGTGGTGGTGGTCTCTGACGTGGGGACGATAGCGTCGCTAGCTGTGCGTTGGAGCACCGTAAATAAAGAGCGTGCGTTGGAGCACCGTAAATAAAGAGCGTTTGTATGTGATGTCGAGCAGTATATATATGTATATGTATATATATATGCGGTGATTGTAGTGGCCAATAATGGGTCGCACGCCGACGGCAGTAGTAAGAGCAGCGCGTTTCGTAACGATACACACACACACGAGAGATAGAGAGAGTGTACCCCGAGTCCCCTCTCATTGGACAACAAGGCGAGGGAAACAGCTCTTTCTGTGACCTTTTGGACTGACCCTATGTGCCAGATGGACGTAAACAAGCCTCTCCCCAGCTGCTCATCGGCCTCAACCCAACTCACGCAGTCAGTCGGTCCTGCACTGAATCACGCGGCAACAGCACAGAAAGAGCCGAAGAGACCGAAAAAGCGCCGGCAAAAGAGAACGGTATATGGGGATTGTTGCTCCAGCTTGCCAAGTGTCGCAGAAAAGCTGACGTCATCAAGTCCGGCGCACGCGGAGTGAACTGGACGCGGTCGCGTCGTCACTGTCAACTAACTATCCGCCTCCAGAGCGTGTGACTCGTGTGGATTTTGTCCCGTGCGTGGAATAAAAGCGCCTTCCCACCCCCTGCAAAGACTAATCAATTCGCCTCTTCCTCATCAAAAGGAGAAGAAGAAGAGGAAGAGGACCAGAGAGAGAGAGAGAGAGAGAAGAGTAAACGACAGCCAAACTGACAGGCAAACAGACAGTCAAAGACAGCGCCAAACAGACTGATTGACTCATAGACCGACAGAGGATGAACGTCTGTGCAGTGGTTGTCGCTCTGTCAGTGGCTCTCGCTGCCGCGACGGCCGTCGACAGCACCGACCGACCCGTCGGGACGCTCTTGAGCTGTCCCCCCATGCGCCCAATGGACTCGCCGTGTCTCTGGGCCGGACCCAACGGCCGCGTTGTCGACGCGTCCACACTGCAGGGCCTGTTGCTCGCGCGGGACCGCGTGAGGCCCATCGACCGCGCGTCGAGTCTGCGCAATCTGCAGCTCCACATGTCGTACCTCGAAGGTGAGACGACAGCAGAGCCAATGGGAGTACAAAGCTGACGGTCCACAGGTCATTAGTTGCTCACGAGTGGGTCTTGTGCTGCTATGTGTCTTGTGCTGTGTCTCGTGCTATGCTGCTATGTGTCTTGTGCTGTGCAGACGTGAGGATGCAGGCGGACAAGATGGGACACGAGTTCTCGTACTACATGGGAGTGAACGAGCGGCACTTGGCCGTGACGTCGCTTCGGGACGCAACGCCCGAGCAGTTTGTCGAGCAGGAGGTGCAGGCAATGGCCGTCGCTCGGCGTCTCCAGGTGCAGACAAACAGCTCCGGCGCTGCTCCAAGTACGGGCTCTCCGGCCAACGCAAGTGCAGGCAGCTCGCAGTACTGGAACTGGTGCGACGCGTCCAACTCGAAAGGCCACTCGGTGTGCTCAGCTGTCAAGAGCCAAAAGACCTGTGGGAGCTGCTGGTCGTTCGTTGCCGCGGATGCCATTGAGACGGCAGTTGTTATTGCCGAAAACACGTCGACCGCCGTGTCGTTATCGCCGCAGCAGTTTCTCATGTGCAGCACGTTGCAAACCACGCAGACGTTTGACTACTGCTGGGCCTCGGACAATGGCGTGCCGGGGGCCAGTTGGATGCAGACGCAGATCAAGTGGGAGTCGCAGAACGATGGATGCAATGGCGGCATGACACACGCGGCGTTTATGGACGCGGCGCAGCGCGGCTGGGGACTCGTGACGGAGCTGACAATGCCGTACGATGACTCGAATCCCGGGAGCTACGTGACGTCCAACACGTCTTCGGCATGCAATGTCCGCGCGGAAGATGCAGCAGCGAGTATCACGGGCTGGGAACAGATCGTAGGCATTGACTGCTCGGTTTCCAGCAATTGCACGCTGCTGCTTCGTGCAGCAATAGAGAGACAGCCCATTGCGGTTGCCATCACGTCGAACGGCGGCTTCAGCGAGTACCTTGGCGGGTTCTACCGCTGCCCCAATAACGGCGAGATGGCGTCAAAAAACGACCTGAACCACGCCCTCCTTCTCGTGGGCTACGGCACTGACAGCACGCACGGCGACTACTGGATCCTCAAGAACTCGTACGGCAGCTCGTGGGGGGACAATGGGTTCATGAAGCTCGTAGCGGACGCCAAGATCAACTGCGGGCTGAACGTCTTCCCCGTTATTCCGACGGGCGCGAGGGCAGGTGCGCAAGCGCGCACGACGATCGACAGTGGCGGGGACAAGGTCTTTGTGGGCTTGAGTCCGTCCGCGTGGATCGGTGTAGCAATTGCAGCTACGGTTTTCACGCTGGTCGCGACGGCAATTGGCGTGTGGGTGTCCCACCGGAAACTGCACCGCCTCCGCAAGCAGCACTCGGCCATGTACACTGCCGTCAGCACTCCTACGAACAGCGCCTACTAGACCGCGACAAGCAGCCAAGTGCGTAGGAGATGATGATGATGGTGATGATGGTGTGATTTGCGAGTGCATTCAGTATGAACGAACGCTCGTTGCAGCGTAAAGAACTCTTTTGCGTGTCGTTCGTTGCATTGACGTTGTGCCGTTCATGACCGAGTGAACGGGTGAGCAGACCAGTCCAGAGCCAGTCCGAATGTCACCACCGACACTGCTGCTCTTGCCAGTGTGTCGGTGGGGGGGCATCCAGTCAGCAGACACATTGATACATGTGGCTGCCAGCCAGAGCCGCCCGTTACGCAGAGCACAGAACGTCTTCGACGGACGTCGACTTCGCTGGCCGCAAGAGCATCGCAGGTATGCGATGCGTTTCGACCCGAAAACGGCGGCCCACCCGACCGACCTATCGACCGATCTCCCCACCCCATCCTCGTCAATGCACCGGATATGGGATCCATCCCATGTCCGTCGTAACCTGCGGTCTCACGTTGAAGTTGGATCGTCGAACCCCACGCTGCACTCGCACGAAGGTCGTCCACGTCGCAATTGCGGGGCAGACGCTTTCGACCTGCAGTTGCAGTCTTCAACTCGTCGCGCGTCTGGTACCGACACCTCCTCAACCGGAACTTGACTGGACTTGACGACTGTACCCATAATGGTCAACTCGATGCTGATGAGGACAATGGGGTCGCTGGTGTGGACGAGAGCGCTCACACTCGTGACGATCGTTGCGGCTGCGACGTTGTCAACGACGACGATCGACGCACGGGACAACCGCTTGACGTTCGGTACGCTCGAGCGCTGTGACGACGTGCAGTGCCAATGGACCGATCGAAGTGGCGTCGCAGTGGCTTCGGACGTGATGGTGACGCAGTTCCTGCAAGCCGAAGGGATACCCCACGAAGGCTCGAGCGCGTCTCGACGTCGCATGGAAGCGCACGTCGAGTACCTGGAAACCCTTCACAAGCTCGCGGCGCAGCGCAAGTGGGCGTTCCCGTACGCGATGGGCGTCACCCGTCGGCATTTGCACCACGACGGCGACCGGACATTGTCTCCTGCTGCCTTTGTGCAGCAGGAACACCAGGCAGCCCAACGTCAACGGCAGCGTCAACGGCAACGGCGACTTACAGAACGTGGCCTTCGCTTTGCGACTTCGACGCCCGCGTACCGCGAGACGCTCAACTGGTGTTCCCCGGACAACGTGCGCAACGAGAGCATCTGCACAGACGTCAAGAGTCAGAACCAGTGCGGCAGTTGCTGGGCGTTTGCCGCTGCCGATAGCATCGAGACGGCCGTTGCAGTGAACGCCGGCACACTGCCGCAGTCGCTCTCGCCGCAGCAGTTCTTAACGTGCAGCGCGCGGGAAATGACCGCTACGTTCGACTACTGTTGGGCTGCAGGCGGCGTCGAGGGCTCGAGTTGGCTCGAGCGTCAAATGGTCTGGGGCTCCCGGAACGACGCGTGCAATGGGGGCATGACCCACGCCGCGTTTGCCGATGCCGCGCAGTTGCAGTGGTCGCTGAAGAGCGAGCTGAGCGTCCCGTACCAGGAGCGAGAGCTGTTGCAAACGGCTTCAGGCAGTGGAGCAGATGTGTGCACGAGCTCGACAGTGGACGACGCTGCCGCGAGCATATCGGGTTGGGCACAGGTCGTCGGGCCGTCGTGCGAAGAGAGCCGTGACCCAATTGAGCTGCTCAAGTTGGCGCTCCAGCACCAACCCGTGTCCGTTGCGATCAACTCGGGCGGGTCCTTTGACGCCTACAAAGGCGGCATCTACACGTGTCCGAACGACGGCACGTTCGCGTCGAGCGCTGCGATCAACCACGCGCTCGTGCTCGTGGGCTACGGGTCCGACGGCACGACCGACTACTGGATCCTCAAGAACTCGTACGGCGCGAGTTGGGGCGAGAAGGGGTTCCTGCGCCTGCAAATGGACGCAAAGATCAACTGCGGACTCAGTGTGTTTGCGGTCGTTCCCACTGGCGCAACCGTCGGGTCCGTCGACACGACCGTTGACGGCGGCGGGAAGGTCTATTTCGTCGGCATGACGCCCGAGTGCTGGATCATCGTCGCCAGCGTCGTGGGCGTTGCCACGGGGATCCTCACGTTGGTTGGCGCCATCTACGCCAACCGTCAGCGGGACGCCCTCAAAGAGACGCCGCTGTGGTAAATCATCACCATCTGATACGTACAATATGAGGTCCACCAATCGTACAATAATAGGTCCATCGCACGTACAATATTAGTCCACCAATCGTGCAATATTAGGTCCATCGTACCCCCCGAATCAGGCCCATCGTACCCACAGAATCAGGTCCATCGTACACTTGGTGGTCGAACGTCGGTCGATCACCTTTGGTCCGTGGCGTGTGCACCCCCAGCTGACGCCCATCTGGTTCTTGTCTCTCGATTAGCCAATCAACCGCCGACTGACTGAACGACCGCATCCTCAAACACCAGCGGTCATGCTCGACACGCACTTGGACCCGACGCGATACGTGGACGCACAGGCGTACAGAGCGTACGAGCGGCACAAGGGCCACGAACTGGTAGTCGCCGAGTGCGTCGTTGGCGCCCCCGCGCAAGTGTTCGACGCGTGGCTCGAGCACGTGTGGCTCGCCCGTGGCTCGGAGCTGCGCGAGGGGCGAGGACGCGGCTACGTTGGCCACGTCCGCAGCGCCCCACTGGGCATTGAAGAAGAGATTCTGTCGGCTGGACTGCCGATGGACGACTCCCCAGTCGACAGCAGCACAGACGGACGCCCGAGTCTCGCAGCAGCTGAGCGCGACCGGTTCAAGATCCCGTCCATCTGCTACAAGATGCGCAAGTTTGGCCTGTGGTTCCCCATGCAGAGCCACCTCGCGTTTGTCCAGTTTGTCGACGTGGCGGCCTCGCCCAAGAGCACGCCAGCGACGCTCATCATCTGGTCGCTCAAGACAACGCCCAGTGCACTCGGCTACCTGCTCTGCTGGGGCGGCTTCACCAACTTGCTCCTACGCTCGGCGTTGCAGGGCATGTTGAAAGACCTGGCGATAAGGGCTGCTGCAACGACGCATCGATACTCGGACTAGGCTACACCTCCCCCCCTCCCCCCGCACTAGTACAACCAGAAGCACATCCCACGTGTCCGTGCTCTCCCTCTCTCTCTCTCTCCCTCTCTCGCCCCCGACTGTGCATCGAAATCGGACGTCACAGTTGACGCGCTCTGTGTGTATGTATATACATACATACACACAGAGCGCGTCAACTCTGCTACTATCGTGGCGGTGTGAAAACGATACACGTCTGTTGCCTGAGTGAGACACTGTTTGGCCCAGAGGGGACGTCTGATTCTGGCGACGAGGTCCTCGCCAATCGCAGGCCTGTCCTCGTTGCGATGTTCCCATTGGCCCTCGACGTTGAAGGAGCTCGTCCCGCATTTCAACCAATCAAATGTCCGTCGACCTCTCTCGCCCGCCCGCACGCGCCGATCCACCGTCCACATGGCCGAGCGGTACGTCGACGCCGCCGCGTTCGAAGCGTACGCAGACAGCGACGGCCAAGAACTCGTCGTAGCGCAACTCGTGAACGCGTCCGTCGACGAGGCGTACGACGCGTGGATCCGCATGGAGTGGAGCGGTCGCGGGCTGACGCTCGAGGCCGGAGAAGGTCGCGGCCTCGCTGGCCACCGTCGTCTCGTCCCGCTGGGAGTCGAAGAGCAGATCCTGTCGGTGGGACTGCCCGAGCACTCGGATCGGATCCCCAGTGTGTGCTACGGCATCCGCAAGAGCGGTCCGCTGCTGCTGCGGGACCATGTGGCGCTCGTGCAGTTCGTGGCCGATTCGTCGGCGTCTCCCTTGCAGCCCAAGACGCTCATTCTGTGGAGCTCGAAGCTCACGCCTTCGGCTCTTGGCAGTGTCTTGCTCTGTGGCGGATCGCTCGCTCGACTGGTGCTACGAGCAGTGCTCTCGAGCTCGTTGCGAGGCATTGCAGCAGCTTTCCAGCAAACATGAGTCGCGTTGGTGTGCTAGTAAAGAGACGTACACGAGTGACTTGATGGTTACTATATGAATGAAACGAGTCACGCGTGTGACAATGAACCCACTCGTCCACATGGAGCCCGACAGGGATTGCTCATGTGTGGGAAAAGTATAGACCGATGGACAGGTACGTCGATGATGGGGTGGGGCAGCGAGGATGATGATGGGCCCTCAATGCCAAATCGCAGGCACTGCCTTCTCGATGATCGAGTTCGACAGCGCTCGCACGTCCTTGTCGCGGCATTCCTCGAACGCACGTAGACGATTGAGCCCGTCGTGCTGCAGCAGCGAGTTGCAAAACACAGTGAGCTTGCGCATGTCGCGATGGTCCACCGACAAGTAGAAGCTCAGTACGTCGTGCAGCACGTTCAGCGCTTGCTTGACTTCGTGCAGATCCGGTGTCGGCGCTTCCATCCGACTCGTCCCTCGCGTTGCCTCGTCGTCCACGTCTCGAGCTACTGCCGGTGAGGCAGCACTCGACTGAGACTGTGCGCGCGCAAGGACCGTGAGCTCCTCGACGCAGTCTGCTGGGTGCTCCTGCAGCCTCTTGAGCTGGTCGTCGCTCAGGTCCAGTGTGCTGTTCAACGCTCGTCTCCCCGCGCGAACCCTCCCGGCCGGCACGCTCCCAGTCGCCGCCGCCTGCTGCGCCTCTTCGTTCGCTTTGACAGCACCAGCGATCTCCTCTTCCAGCTTCCGCAGCAGCACCCGACGACGCAGCATCTCTGCGCGCTCGACATTGGCCTGTTTGAGCGCGTCGCTCTCGCTCTTGCGTCGACGAGCGTGGCGTGCTCGTCGCGCGAGGATCTGAGCTGCCATTGTGGTCCCATCGCGCGACGAGCTCGCAGGCGCCGGTCGCAAGTACGAGTGGCGTCGCTGGATCCGGCCGAAACGGCCGCGGCCGTCGTCCTCACTCGAGCCGGACTCCATGTCCCGAGCGCCGAGCGACTTGTGCTTGCGCAATCGACTCCGTGTCAAGAGCTCGTGGGCCTTTTGCGGCGGCAGCCGCCGCTGGCGTTCCGACGACGCGTGCACGAGAGCTGCGTACTGTTTGTCCAAGTGCTTCTCGTACTCGGGCGCGACGACAAAGTACGAGAGCAGCGCGACCGCCACAACCACAACGCTCAGTGTGAGCACCACGAGCTGCGCTTCAGCGTAGCCAGTGGTGCTCGCGCTCGCTCCGAACGCATTGCGAGTCTGCTGCAGCATAGTGCGACAACGACAACAGCGACAACAGCGACAATGCTATCAATTGGCGGGTGCGAGTCGGAGGCTGTTGCACGACGTGCGCTGTTGGCGGCCAGAGACTTGTTGTCTTGTGCGATCGCTGGGCTCGAGACGCTCGAGATTCAATCGGTCCGTGAGTAGTCAGTGGGTCTGTCGGTCTGCCGGACTTCCACCGGACTTCCTGCGTCTTTCCTCGCCCGTTGCCCGGCGTTTCGCTCTCGCGTCTGAGTTCCCCAGCGGCTTTAAGCTGTGGTCCGTGGCGCCTTTTGCTCGGCGCGCACGTTTGTGTATGTGCGAGGAACGCGCTGGACGCTGACGGACCGACAGACCGACCGACAGACGGGCGGACGGCGGCGGCGGCGTTTGCGTTGCGGCTGATCACTGGATGGGGAGGCCGAGAGCAGTGGGACTGCTGCTGCGCTGCCGTCAGACTGGACACACGCGCGTCACGAGTGTTCGATCTTTCCGCAGACGTCAGGAGGGACATCACGCACAGCGCACACGTCGAGCATTGCACAAAGCACTACGGCGCGTTCGGATACAAAGTGCTGCTGTGCGCGAGCAAGTGGCGCTGTGGTGGTCAGTCGGTACCGACGTCCTACGAACGATACAGCTGCTGCGTTTCGTTCGGGCCGCTGCGCTGCGACACGGATGGCGATGCTGCGGTCGCCACTCACTGCGCATTCGGACCGCAGCGAACGAAACGCCCGAAGGAGCGCTCGAGTCGTGCAACAGTTCGCGGCAGTCACGTGCGCAGTGGCCACAGTTTCGGGCCTCTGTCCTCACTGTCTCGTTCGCCACTGTCTCGTCTTGTCAACGTGGCGCCAGCGCGTTATCATTTGTCCGCTGAAACGGGCAACACGAACGAGACCACGACGTGCCGGCATTGCAGTGCTGGTCAAAGCCTAAAGTCAGTGGCGTGCAAGTCACTGCAGCTCTGATTGTTGGCGTAAGAGGTGTCTGCGGGATCGATGGACGAGTTTGTCCCGCAAAAGGGTTCTATAACGAAAGCTAACTTGTTGTCCACGTGAATCGTCGTCGCAGTCTTACACGTTACACCCATTTCCTTCAGCAAATAACGAATCCACATCACTTCTTGTGTAGCTAGTGCCAGTGCCATATATTCTGCTTCAGCAGAGGATAAAGCCACCGAAGTTTGACGTTTGCTTTTGTACACAACAACTGCACCTCCAAGCAAAATCAACACACCAGAAGTAGATCGACGAGTCATCTTGTCATTTCCCCAATTCGCATCACAGTATGCCCAAAGTATCATCTTGTTGTCGTCCGATTTCTTGTACGCAATTCCGTGTGATTGTGTTCCCATGAGATAGTGCAAAACGCGTAGAGCCGCACGCCAGTGCATCTGTCGTGGCTTGTCCAAGTACTGCGACAGCACTGACATCGCGTAACCTATATCCGGTCGCGTGGCATTTGCAATATACAGCAGTGAACCGACCAATTTGCGATACGAAGTGATGTCCTTCAGCACCGGGTGTGACTCATCCGGAGTTAGGTCCTGGCCTGCGTAGATAGGGTTGCGCACTGCATAAGCTCCATTTTGCTCAAATTTTGAGACCAGCTCCATAATAAATTGGGACTGTTTTAGCACCAATTCTCCCTTATCTTGTGAGTAATTCACCTCCATGCCCAAAATAAATCGCGCAGCTCCAAGCGACTTCACAGAAAAATGCTCTGACAATTCTTTGAAAATCGTGTCCGCCTCTGCATCTGACTTGCATCCAATCAAGAGGTCGTCCACATACAAGACTATGTATGTTAGTGACTTATTGCTTGCACCATTGTGTCGAACAAAAAGACATGTGTCTGCTCGACATTGTTTGAAGCTCATGGCAGAAAACACGGAGCATATTTTCTTGTGCCAAACCGCAGCCGCTTGTTTTAATCCATATAAACTGCGTCGTAGTTTGCACACCATTCCATATTTAATCTCAACTCCAAAGGGAGGCTCCATGTAAACATCTTCTTCCAAATCACCGTTCAAAAACGCTGTTTCTACGTCGAACTGCCGGATCACATATTGCATGTTGCAACAAATTGACAAGAACACACGAATTGTGTTGGAGCACGCGACAGGTGACTACGTGTCGAAGTAATCGAAACCATGCGTTTGCAGATATCCTAGGGCAACCAAACGCGCTTTGTAACGAACGATATCACCCTTTTCATCGTACTTGTGCCTAAATACACACTTGTGACCTATAACCTTGACACCTGAAGGACGATAGACAGCGTCCCATGTGTGGTTTTTCAAATGAGCTTTAATCTCTGCTATAATTGCTGCTTTCCTTTGTTCCGCGTCGATCGACCGCAGCGCCTCTCGAAAATTCATCGGTACATCAGTAGCAGGAAACGAAATTTCGTAATCGCCAACACATTGACGTTTGGGGTCCGGCTCGTCGTGTTCGCTGTCGACCGGCGATCCATCAGTCACAAGCGGGAAATCCATCTTCTCACCATCAAATCCATCATTAATGAGTAGACGATATGACGTACTATAAGGCCTTTTGGTTGATACCGAGGACATTTCCAGTCGGTCATCTTGGGGGCGAGGATTTTCACTTAGCACAATAGCTTGAGACTGATCCGGTAAACTTTGGAGCATGCGTGTATTATAATCGCCACTGTCAGCGATCATGTTGTGTGATAGGCGACCTATCATTGTACTGTTTGTGTCAATGACTTGCATATCCGCACACGTCCCCTCAATCGGAGCAACAGCTAAATCATGCGATAGATTGAAATCGCCAGACGCATCCACAACCACGTCTTCCCAACTGGTGTCATTGTCAGCAGTCTCATCAATGTCCATATCCTCAACCTCTTGAGTCTTGTTCAAGGAAGTTACTCGCACAGTCATGTCATTGCATGCATTATAAGAGTGCTTGCAGTGAATGCTAGGTTCACCGAGAACAACAACATCCTTGTATTGCGAGTGAGGTCGCTCGTTTAAAGCGACAGACCTAGTAACGACAAACTCTCCTTTGACCAGATCCCACACTCGGTATGCCTTTGACGTGTACGAATACCCGAGAAAGGTGCACTTGCATGCCTTGCTGTCCCATTTCGTTCGCTTACAATCCGCGACTCGCAGATATCCAGTCGAACCAAAGACACGAAAATGGCTCGAGTCTGGCTTCACTCCATACAGGGTTTCGAATGGACTTGAGTTAGATCGTGCAGTATTCGGAATCCGATTGATATTGTAGGCAGCCGCCATATAAGCCTTACCCCACCAAGAACGATCAACTTTCATGTAGTGAATCATCGACCGGGCCAATTCAACGAGGGTTCGATTCATCCTATCTGCTAAACCGTTTTGCTGAGGAGTGTACGGTACACCAGACAAGCGTACCGTACATCCCCCAACAGAACAATGCCACCACAGTACTTGTTGAACCGATAATTTGTATACCCCCCACCATTGCCACTACGAATGCATTTGATCTTGCAATATGTTTGATTCTCCACCATAGCACGAAACACCTTGATACGCTCGAAAACTTGGGACTTTGCTGCTAGCAAGTATACGTACTCAAATCGGCTGTAGTCGTCGATAAATGTGAGTACGTATACAGCCCCACCCTTCGACTTCGAATTCATAGGGTCCATAAGATCGGTGTGTACAATCTCGAGCGGTCGACTTGTTTTTATTACACTTCCTGATGTATGGATGAACGGGCTGTTTGTCATTTTCCCGTGTGCACATCCTTCATGTAAACCGTCTTTAGGTGCAACAATTCTCGGGATACCATCGCAAGACTTCGTCGCTTGTATGACCTGGTTTGCCGGCACATGACCTAGGCGAGCATGCCGTATTGCACTAGAGTCATTGACCGCGACACCGCTATCAGTCTTGTGAGCCCCAAATGTGACATGTTGTTTTACATTCCATGCAAACAGCTTTCCCACCCGTTTAATCACTGCCACAGTAACGTTGTCGCTCATCAGAACTGCTTGATCACGTTTAAACTGAACAAGCATGCCTCGGGTCGTCAGCGCTGCTACTGACACAAGTTTCTTGTCTAGCCCAGGTACATGTAAGACCTTTGTTAGCTTGACTGTCCGACCATCCTCGAGTATAAACGTACTGTGCCTGTTCCTTGTGCCTTCAACAGCTGTCCATTCGCCACAGTGATGTAAATTGGAGTGATTAAATCTTCGTACTCCACAAATTCACGCTTGTCATCAGTCAAGTGACGACTTTCCACACTATCCAGCAACCAAGTCGAACTCGAAATAGGCTTTTCTGACGGCCTGAAAGCCGAAAAAACAAACTCATCACCAGGTCTCGATTGCTTCACGTTACGACACTGCGATCGTTTGTGTCCATACCGTCCACATCCAAGGCAATTGCCTTGAAAACTGGTATCACCCTTTTTTGGTTCTCGAAGGCTGGTGTCGGTCTTGATTTTCTGTTTGTCCACGGTATCCTCGGTTCCCTTGAAAGCGTCGAGGTTCATTGCGCTAGGCATGCGCCTCGAAAGCGGTTTCCTTCTTGTCTCCCTTCTGAAGGGTGTAATACTCCCGGCGGAGCATCTCTTTCGCGTCAAGCAGTGTCACGTTGCTGTGTACCTCAATTATGCGCTTCACATCATCACATTCAGATGATTAACTTCCCAAAATCAAAACCAGCTTCCCATCATCATCCATGCTGTCACCGGCAGCCCTGAGCTCTAGACACAGCCCATCAAACTTGAGTAGATCATCCATAAGAGTCGTACCAGTCTCCATCACAAACTCATGAAGTGCCTTCCGAAGTTGCACTCGATTAAGAAGATTCTTCTTCGCAAAAAATGTCTTCGAAACCTCCCAAGCTTCAATAGCAGACTCACATTCCCGAACCATACACTGATAGGTTGGGGAGAGCAGCTTTACAAGCACAACCGGAGCCTTTACATCGGCGACTTTCCATCCGGGATTCTCCCGCAGCACTGCTGGCTCTAGCGTAACTAATACGTGATCCAAAAGACCCTTGCGCGAGTGTCATACGTACATTAGATTCCCACATAAAGTAATTATCATCCGTGAGAATGTCATTGGAAGCTAACGTATTTAGGCTCATCACCTATAACGAAAGCTAACTACTTTTCTGTGCTGCAAAATGGAAAGTAGTGTCAAGAGTTAAATACTACTGACTGAATGTAGAAACCCCCTCGTAAACTGATCACTCACTCCATCACGTTCGAATATCACTGTCCCTGCAAGTTGCCTTGACCACAACACCCACGTCATCGTCGTACTCGTGATCCTCTACAGGTTCACGGTCTGCATCTGTACCAGCCAGCCGAAAACCGACTGCCTGCTGCCTTCGGCATCGTCATTGCCCGACGACGGTCTCAACCATTGTCTGCTCATCGAAGGAGGGACCGCCCTTTTCGTTTGCATGCATAGAACCCTTGCTCGAATGTGCTTCCGTTTGTGTACCAGGTCCATCGATGGGGGTCTTGTCTGCACACGGATGGTCCATCCACCGCGTTATCCTGTACCCATTTCGCGGCTGAATGAGCAGACCACTTGGCTCGTCTTCGACAACACTCACTGTCTGCGCGTGATCACATGTTTCGGCAGCAGACATTGATGATCGTGGTACATGCGGTCTTGTCCATGATAGTTGGAAGCCACAGACTTGTGATAAGAACAGACTGGTGACTGTATATACCGCACACTAGCGAGCGATCAACAGCTTTGCAGTGGCAATCACAGAGCGCCTTTTGCTCAGACGCGAGTTCATATTGCCGTCAGCCAGGAACGACAGTGCGTTGCAGTCTCCACATATCCAGTCAGAAGGGCAGAATCAACAAGCTCATGTGCATGCATTCGAGACGTCCATAGAGTACTCTTTTCACGCAGACGACCGCCACCTCGCTCGAACTCTTGACCTTTTTCCGCCAAGGAGCTCTTTCAGGGTCACAGCTCAATCGCTGAACAGCATACGATTGCTCATGGGCATACAGTACAATTGCTAGTGAACTTGTCGACAGCGGAGCAACGTCCTCAACATGAGCTTCGATACTATGTGCGACTTGACACAATGCCCGAACAACGAGCCATCATCCAATCAGCAGCAGCACAAACTTCAGGTTGGGGTCAGTACACAAGTTGATGACCCGCTGCGCGTCATCGCCTGAGCCAGAGCCACCCGTGCGTGCTCACGCTCCGCACGTGTCGCTTTCGTACTTAGTCCACTCCCCACGCACGCACCACGAATATTTTCCACGCCACGTCGGACCACCCGACCGACCGACCGCGACCCGTGCGTCGCAAGGAGCGCCACTCTCTTTCTACCTGCAGAGCCCATCGAGCGACCGAGCGACCCATCAATCAATCAATCGACGAGATGCTGCGGCGGTCCATCGCCTCATTGACTCGCTGTGGCCTCCCGCGGTCGGTGGCCGCGATCCCACCGTCTGGCACGAACCCCAAGCGCTTTGCCCGCGCGTTTCGAGCCGTGCAGCAGACGGAGCGCCACGTCATTGCTGCGCTGGTGGTCAATCAACCAGGCTGTCTGGCTGAGATCGCCAACCTATTCGCTGCTCGAGGTTGAGATGGACTGGGCAGTGTCGATACTGTATCTGGTAGCAGTGAGGCGTCTAACAACCTCGTGCTTCTCTCTTTCTCGGCCTGTTTCGATCTAGGGTACAACATTGACAGTCTGGTGGTCGGGCGCACAGAGGTCGAGGAGCTCTCGCGCATGACTGTAGTCATCAATGGCACTGCGCAGAGTGCGGTGAACGTACGAACGACAGCTTTTTGAGCTTGCAAGGGAAAGAAACGAGTAAAAGTCGCGAGTGCTCACTGGTGTGGGTCGGCTTTTTGCTTGTTGTAGATGAAGCAGCAGCTGGAAGATGTTGTGTACGTGGCTGTCGTAAACATCCTCAGTGGTGGGCAACAGGCAGAAAAAAGCTACGTCGAGCGCGACTTGATGCTGGCAAAGGTGTCGACAGCTAGTGAGTGTCGATGAAGCTGTTGCGACTGAGACCATTCGCACCCCATTGGGATCTGCTGGAGAGGCGGGGTTCAAGTACTGATGCTTGTTGTTCTGTATGCAGAGGCTGGGTCCCGTGCGGAGGTTGTAGAGCTATCTAACCTGTTTGACGCGAAGATCATCGACGTGCGACCGCATCAGGTCATGGTGCAGCTGGCTGGTACTCCTAGTCGTATTGAGGCCTTTTTGAACCTGCTAAAGCCGCTGGGCATCACAGAGATCCACCGCAGTGGTGTCATTGCAATGGCCCGCAGTACGAGTGTGACTGACAAGCTGGGTCATCTTTCAACGTTTGAGGGCGCCACTCGCACGCTTCTGGACGAGCCCGATGATGAAGCGGTTGACGTCTCTCGCCTCCCGCCTGGCTAAATAGACGGCTGTGGAGACACCAATGTATTGCTTTTTACTGGGAGGACGAAAGGGTTTTTATGTCTATCCATGTTGACGACTATTCTACCAGCAGCTCTCCTTGTCGTTGGGCCCATTGCTTTCGTACATAGATTAGAACTTGGTCCGTGCCTTGTGATCTCGTGTATCCATTCTGCCTTGTAGAACAGTTTCGGATCCGACAAGAATGACGACGTCAAGCGCGACGCACTAATGCTGCATACTTTGTGATATGCGTTTGCAATCGATCACGGTTGTGCCTGTGTGCACTTTTGACGAATGTTTGCTGCAAGTTTTCCAGTGCAATGCTTGATTCCAGGTTACAACGTATTGCGCCTGAAGCTCTACAACGACGGGCAACAGTTTCTCGCACGATGTTGATACTAGTCATTCAATGATTGCACCTAGGCGTAGCTAAGATCTACCACAGACGCATTGGCATAAGCCAGATTGCGATGAATAATGTCAACAGTTACCACCTTACGGGGTCTGCTAAGCTGATACTTTGCATTCGACATGCATCAGGGTGACCTTGTCACACGACATTGACACAGTGAAGAATGTCAATTTGGATGCTATCTTGGGAATAAAAATGCACCAAAATATCAACAAAATGCGCTAGCGAGTCACGCAATACACTCGAGCACATCCATGAGTAAAATCACATCAGGCAATATCGATGTTGGCGATGGTATTCGATCTTGCATGTTATAGCCAATTACAACAGATTACGCATTCTCCAAGACCGGAGTATGCCGGATCGGTCTTTTGTGTTGCATTCGTCAATTTTTTACATCATGACAGTGATGACACGCGAACATCTTTGCCGCATCAAACAGCGGAAGCATCTTGACATGTCGCGAGCAGAGAGTTGTGTCTCAACGAAGAAGGCTGAGTTCTAATTGTACGCAACTAGTTGCCAAGGCCGCATGTTGTTGCGATGATTTCAGTCGCACGGTCGACACGCGTTGCACAAACACATCTTTGCGCCTTTCGTACCGATATGATAGTGAGTCGATTGTAACCATAAAAGCACCATCGTGCAGACGCAACATTACGTGAGTTGTCGCCTATGCAGTCTAAAATGACAGAATCACCGAGAATTGATCAGTCAGCATCGACACATTTGAACCCACTGTCGTCAAGTATATCTACACAACCCTTAGACGATCTCATCGGCAAGCGTGTGTCTGTCGTGAACTTGTAATGACTACAGAATCTTTCCTTGTTTTCTTGTTGCCAACTCTCCGCCCGTATTATCCACCTCTATCACCAGCATGGTAGTATTGACCTTTGATAGCTCCAAAATTCTATCTTGTGACCACTAGCTATATCAGCAAAACGTGTTTGCCAGCTCTCCAGTATCATCCTCGCTCTCATTGCCTGGTTTATGCGGTTTTGATGCTTCTAAGTCGTGCCTTAAAAATCGACCACAGCGTTGCGTACGTGCCATTGTGACACGGCGCGTTATCGTCTCATTCAAAAAAGACGATACCGCTAAGACGACGCCTAGACATCACCACAACGTCATACCAGTGAGTTGTAGAATAAAAGAGATGAAAGTAGATTATGCCCTTACAAAAGAACGAAAATGGACGCTTGAAGGCTACGCTGGAAGCATCAATGCACCTCTCCATTCTTGCAGTATGACTGTCTGCGAAAAGTCGAGGTTTCCGTATAAGTTCCTGGTTTAAGGAGGGGGAAAGAAGACGATATACATGGGCGAATATGTAATTGGTCTCCTTATCGTGATTCTTCGGTTGTGCAGTGTACATCGCTACGACATTTTCGTTGTTTATTTATTGTTTGGTCCATCATTTCAGTTTTTTAATCTTGTAATGCATCTTTCGCTTTTGATTGTTTGGTCTATCCCGTCTTGTGGTGCGATCTTTTCATTCTCGTGAGCATCTTTGGCGCAGTATTTTTTCGTAGCTGGGGGAACACTACTCATCAGCAGACGCAAGCTACGCTATCAGCCGATATAGCAGCAAGCAGTGCTGGACGCGCGCGATCATTGGAGAGCGAGGTGTCAACATACATGATTGAAGTCTAGTATAGCTGACGCAAGGTCTATAGGAGGTTCTTGGATAACTTGACGAATACAGTCAACTATCTGTCATTCAGCTAAGCCTTACCATTCGACCAACTACTCCTTCTCTAAAATTCCGGTGTACGTGAAATTCCGATAAATCCGTCCACACTTTCATTAATGTAGGTATATTATACTGTGTCCCATTGCAGCTGGTAGCACTTCGTGGTCCGTCCAGCGATCAAGGGCCATTCACGTTTAAATTGTGCATGATAGTATCCTCTACGCCACGCGTGAAGGCTTTAGCCATTCGAGAGGAATCTTATTGCATGCGGTCGAACTCATGAGCTCGGCCGTCTGTTTCTCAACCACAGCTGTCATGTTGCTCGCATTGATGACAACGGACAGCATGTCATGGACGCCAAGTCTATATATCACGAACTTGACGTGGTAAAGAAACGATGACCTTGCTTCGCTAGCAAGGTTCTCAACACTCAGGAACAGTTAGGGATCCGAGTGCTCAATACAGTCTTCCCTCTGCTAAGTTATAGACTTGGTGGAAGGCAAATCTTATAACATAGCAGAGGTTATTCCATAGCAGAGATATGCTGCGGAAAAATTATTAATTTAATTAATTAAAGTATCAAAAACGCAACAAACCTCCAGGCTTCCAAAACCTGTCTGTCACGTGTCACGTACCCTTTGACGATTTTGTGATTTTGGTTGCCCCACCAGTCTCTGGTGATTTTGCTATCTCTGGTTAAGAAGATCCACCAACTGTACCTTCTCACTCACAACAGATGTCGCAGATACGTCTTACCAACGAGCAGAAGCTGCGCATCTGCAAGCACCAGGATGCTAACCCCGCATCACCCAGACTGCCCTGGCGGCTTGGACAGAGGACGCCTTTGACCTCCAGAAGGCACTTTCCCAGGCAGCGATCAGCAAAATCATCAAAAAAGGAAGGAGCTTGAGGCAATGGACACCACTAACCTCAGCGCTAAGCGTCCTCGGACTGTCCAGCACCCAGCTGTGGAGGAGGCCGTCGCCTTATGGGTCTTGCAGTGCCAGCACCGTGGGGTTGCTCTCACTGGAGATCTCATACGGGCCAAGGCTCAGACTTTTGCGGGATCAATGAGCGTCTCGGAGGAAAACATCCGCTTTTCGAATGGGTGGCTCCACAAATTCCAGCAGCGCCACAAACTGCGAGCTGTCCGCATTCATGGCGAGTGGCTCAGCAGATATGGGCGCTCTAGAGGAGGGTCTTCCACACCTCAAGGCCGTGGTTGCTGGTTATACTCCACTACGTGTACAACATGGACGAAACTGGTAGGTCTGAGAATACAGTACAGTACTGTACTCATTGTACAGTACAGAAGCATCTCAAAGGCTCACTTTCTGTTCACGGTTGTTCTACAGTATGACGCCCGACAGAACGATTGCCCAGCAAGAGGTCGAAGGGTTTTAAAAAAGACAAGGTACATTATTGCTCTCATCTTGGTTTCCTGCGTTTCTCTGACACTAACAACTATTCTAGACGCGCATCACAGTTGCTCTCACGCAAACGCTGATGGATCCGACAAACTCCCGCCGTTCTTCATTGGACACGCCAAAAGCCGCGGTGTTTTATGCGCAAGACAGCTGAGCGACTGGGCTTTCTTACCGCAACAACAAGAAAGCCTGGATGACTGGCATACTCTTCCAGGAATGGCTGGGAGACGTCGACAAAAGTATGAAGGTAATTTGGGGCATGCCTTGAACATCATCGTTGCGGTACAGTAAATGAGGTTTGACTAACGCGTTGATCACAGCAAAAGGATAGAAAAATCCTGCTTCTCATGGACAACGCTCCTTTACACATTGTTGCTGACCTGGAACTCACCAACATCACGGTCCAGGCTCTTCCTCCTAATACGACTTCAAAGGTCCAACCCATGGATGCTGGGATCATTGCCGCATTCAAGAGGCACTACCGCCGGATGCATCTGCCGAATGCCTTGGACCGTGACGAGCGCGGAGAAACCAACCTTTACAAGGTTGATCAGCTCACGGCCATGCGTTGGTCGCTGGCTGCGTGGAGCGAGATTTCCAGTGCCACAATCGCCAACTGCTGCGTCATACGGGACTCATGGACGGTCCGGCTCTGCCGACTGGTGGGGGTGAAAACGAAGCCGGCACTGTTGGCCAGAAGGCCCAGCAGGAGGCAACAGCTGCTGCAGTAGAGGGCAGCGCGTGGAACAGGATCTTGTTTCGGCGCTGAAAAGGCTCCCGCTCCGCAATCCCATGTCGATCGCTTCTCTTTTCAATCCGGCTGGAGAGGAGGAGACGGCGCATGCGGAGCTGACCGATGCCGAAATCATCAAGCTTGTTGAGGATCCGTATGGGGAGGAGGAAGGTGCTGCTGAGGCGGAGGAGGAGGTGGAAAAGCATTCGAAGGCTGAAAAGCTTGCCAGCCTTAGTCTATCCATCGCCCTTCTCAACCTTTCTCAGGAGTCCCATCGTATAGCTCACCGCACCCTTCGCCAAGTCCAAGCTGATCTCCGTAGTGCGAGCACCACTCAGGCCACACTTGATTCATGGCTGAAGTAGTTTCCTCTCCTCTTTGCACTCCTTTCTTGCAGTGAATAACAAAAAAAGGTTCTGCGTACAATATTTCTGCTCACGGCGGACAAAAATATTCCCTCTGATAAGTTGTATTTGGCCCTCAGGCTATTCCGTATAACTCATTCCGTAGTCACCATAGAACGAGGTCGGTGGAGACCGAATCCTATAACTTACCAGAGGATATTCCGTAGCCGGGGACAACTTAGCAGAGGGAAGACTGTATAATAGATCTTTATACAGCATCAGGTAAATGCCACTGCTGGCGGACCGGCGCGTGTGCGTCGAAAGTAAAGCTGTGGAAAATGACATCCAAGTTAAAGGACATTGAAGGAGAAGTCTACTCAAATTG